TTACGTTAGCGAGATTCCAACTGTTCAAAATTCGAACATTTTGCCTTTTTTATTCATTACACCTTGTTTTCATCTCTAAAAATATTTGCAATAAAAAAGATTTTCAATAAAACTTGTTGAGAAAAAGACGCGGACCTAAAACTGGCCCCGGTGGAAAAACACAAAATTTAGTAATAGGGACAGGCTTTTAAGGGACAGTTTACGGTATGTAAATATTTATTAATTATTATTTTTCATTTAATGTATTAATTTTATTTTTATTGGTTGCAGGTAATATCCTGTGTGACCATTTCCTATATGTGTATTTGTGTTTACTACACTGTTTTCAAAATGAGGTTCTTCAACTACTACTACTTTGCACCCAAGCATCAGACAGACCCAAACAGCTTGCTCTTCAGTGGACTGTAAGTAAATCATTATTAATCCATAATTTGAAAAAAAATCCAAGTGAATACATGTTACCAAAGGTCATGAAAGAAATTTGCTGAGCAATTAGAAATTGTTGTCCTGTAGTGGTAACCCATTTGACTAAAATGATAATTGAAGGGGTGAATGCATATATGGGAAAAAAGGCTTCATGTAACTTTTGATGTTGTGTCAAATTCTTCCAAAGTTAATACCAGGGTTCGTACCATTTTTTGTACAAAAAAATTCAAGGACTTTCAAGGACACATTTCCCATTTTTCAAGGACTCCATCCAGTGCGATAAAGTTAGCACCGAAATTCAAGGACTTTCCAGTATCGAATGCAATTTTCAAGGACTTTCAAGGGCCTTGATTTTTTAGTTTAAAATTTCAAGGACTTTCCTGGACTTTCAAGGTGCATAAGAACCCTGTAATACCTTTGCCATGTTTGTTACAGGCTACTTTGTCGCTTGACGTATGCACTGTGTCTAAACTTCCTTGCTGTCATTCATCTTGATGGGCATGTTACAGGAGCAGTAGAATCAGTTGAAACGTCATTCACAAAGGCAAGACTAACACACTATAGCCCAGTTTTAGACGCCAAACTTTTCATGAGCTGAACCCTAATTCGAATTAGGGCCGACCCAAATTATTTAGACCAGCTGAATTGATTCAGATGCGGCTGATCAAACTAAATTCAAAAGGAGAAAAAAAATTAATACTCATTTCAGTCAAACTGCATGCAAAATATGTTATTATTTTTAATTTATGCATTAGAATAGGCACATGAAAGTTCGGTGTCTGATATAAAGCCGTTCCAAAGCATGTTATCTTTAGTGATCATTCTCAATTCTCAAAACCTTTTCTCCTGAAGATGTATTGATGTTGTTAAGAGAAAGTTAATGTTGGTCACTCTTAGAAATTTTTAAAATGGATGTAGCTTATCTAATATTAGGGAGTACCCTGCCCCGGGATTTTTAAGTCCTTATGATTATGCTTATTGTCCACATGCTTTGTTATCCTGCAGTTTTTTAACTTAAGATTGTTTTTCTTGACAGTTTATGGGCCACATGGATGTGCTGTCCTTCATTTCCAAGGGAGTCAATGTGTATTACCCCATGTGTGTTGTGCTAGTTTGTCTGGCCACATACTTCAGTCTTGGCACAAGGTGTCTGAATTGCCTTGGATTTCAGACTTTTATTATTGAAGACGATTTATCGGCAGAATATGTCAGTGAGGGGAAGGATATTGCTCGAAGAGGTACTATTAATATTAATTTTATAAGCATTGTTGACATGTACAATCATCATCAAAAGTGTTTGGGAGGCTTTATTTTATTTCACCACAGAAACCAAAAAAAAAAAAAGACAAATGTTGACAGAAAATTTAATGTTTGCAATGTTCTGTTATATCCCAAAAAATAGGGGTTATAGTTCAATTCTCTTTTTGTTAAAGTTCATTAGTTGAAGAAACCTGCTGGCCTGCTTTTCAGGGGAAGAAATTCAAAGCCTGACAAATCAGAGGGACATTCAAAGTGACAAATGCTTTTGAAATAAATGGATGCTGAGGGGGCCAAAGAAAGTGTCTGTATTAAGCAGGTTGAATTTAGAGAAAATGTAAGGGCTTGCTTTTCCAGGGACAAAGCGAACTGTCTGTGATAAAGAGGCATCTGTAAAAAGCAGAGATTGACTGTACATGGCTCATTAGCAGTAAGAGGTTCTTCTTCTCATCTTCTTGTACTGTGCCTGTATCAGTTTGGCCTAAAAACATCCCATCCCAATAAGCTGACACTAAATATCCTAGAATGATGATCATTGTAATGATGCCAAGAACAAGCCTTGAGGGTGCTTTTAGGCTTGATTTCCGCTGCTCTCCTGGTTCTTCCCGAGAAGAGGTCTGCATCAAGCCTTGAAACAATCCTCTACATCACAATATCATGTTTTGTTTCATATTACAGAGAGGAGAAAAAGAGAGATGCTAAGTGAAGATGGAAGCCGCAAGGTTTGTATGTTGTCTCACTTCGTCATGTCTTTTTGCACTGGAAATAGTGCCACCTTCTCCTCCTGCTGGTTTATAGCATGAAGTAACTGATTAACAGAACTCCATGTGCCCGAGTGCAGCACCTAGCTAAGAAAATTAGTGATGCATGTAACTCCATCCAAGAAATTTTCATAGTCGCATGACTGCCGCCTGCCCGTCCTCATCACAGGGAAACCAATGTTAAATGTCACACTAGCTACAGGTGTAGCAGCTGGCAACCTGATATAGCACATCCATTTTGTGGTCAATAATATTGACAGCTGTCAAAAGCAGGGTAACTGCTGATCAGTTTCACATGACTGTATCACAGGCTCAGGTGTCAACCCATCAAGGTTACATATTCTCTTTTATAAAGTTCTCTGCTGAGTTTGAACTGATAGCAGGCCCAACTTCAAGTGGATTTCTTTGCCATGGTTACAGGTTTATTGTTTTAAGTAAATTACAAATTATTTTGTTAACAGGAACTTCACCTTTAACGTTGACTAAATTGATATATCAATTTTTAAATTCAGGAAACATGGTCAGAGAGAGCTGAATCAGCAAAGAAGAAACTTACAACCCGAAGAGCTGAACGTGATGGTCGCAGAATCTCAGATAATGATCTTGCAACTTCCAGCACAAATCTAGCATCAGAAGGAAAGTATGTGAAGTATTCTAGATTTAACACTGATAGCGATCGTGTGGAATTACTTTCTGCCACTGATTACGATGACAATAGTTTACCATCTAGTTACAATGCCAGTAGCTCAGGATTTGGGCGGTCATCTTTGAGTAGAGCACCTAAGAACATTTTTGATGATTTATAACGTTAAGAGTCTTATTATTGATTCAGCGATGTCCTGTTTATATCAGTTGTAATTCCAAGAAAGGTGGGCCTGAAGGTGACACTTAAAACTCTTACTCATAACTGTGCTGTAGTGATCCTAGTGAATGTAAAGGATGTTCGAGGGGACAACATTATTATAAATTTGAAAAGATGTAATTTCAGAAAATATTATTTGTCTTCCATATAAGATCAGTGGACATTCTGTGGAGGAGATCAAGAGTCTCTAAGGACAAACATTTAGAGGGATGCATTAAGACACTTCGAGGGAGTAGTTTAGTTGGGGGGGGGGGCGGGGGAGGGAAGCAGGGTGGGTTGGTGGGGAAGGGGTTCAGGTGTTAAAGCACAGAAAGGCTTCCACTGAAAAAGTATGAACATTTCCCAGAAAACAAATGCAAGAACAGATGTGAGCACACTAATAATGATTTTGAAGTGTACAGTAGTCAAATACCTTAATTTTTTGACAAGAATAGTTCCTAATGTATTGTTATAGGTCTCCCTATAGCTGTGTGTGATGTTACAGATAAATAAAAATTATATTTAATTTCTACCTAATGGTATTGTTTTCGAAGGAGTGCAGGACACATGTAGTCATGGTTGTTTTTGTCTTCTTTTTCAAAGACGCCCCTACCTCAAGTGTCACTTTACTCTGAAATTATGTTAGTTTTACAATGGAGGTAACCCAGGAAAAATTTTCCTGCTTACAGCTTTTAATAATACTGTAAGCAGTGATCATAATACCAATATTGATAAAGTCATAATCTAAGAAACCTAGATGCTCTTGGATTAAAATAGACATGTTTTCTCAGTCTTATTTATAATTCACGAGGAGGAAAACAAGGAAGAGGTTTAGAAATAAGACCATGTTATAATTACCAAAAAATTTAGCGAAGAACTAATTTCCCTTTTTGCAAAAAATAACAGATATGATAGATATCCTGAACAAATGCCACACTGATCTGAGGTTTATTAGTAATGATTGATATTCCTATTCATAACTCTTAAAGTACAGGATACACATTACCTTTTTTCAAAAAGTATTCCTTTCATATTTTTTGCGATTTTATTTTTGAAGTGTCCATGTGGAGTAAACGTTTTAGCCATCCGAAAGTAACGACCCGCCGAAAGTAGCGATAGCAGGAGGGTGCTAAATCCAAAAATAACGAGGCTCGTTACTTTCGGAACTTTGTGGCATGCTTTTTTGTTTATGTCACTTCTTCCCAGTTGAAAATTCACCACTTTAGAAAGGAGAAGGGGACTGGGCCTGTAAGGTGTCCTGCAATAATATTGTTCCTGGAATCAGTACTGGGGGTGCGCCAGTCAGCTATTGACCAATTTTTTGGGCTGACCCCAGTAACAGAACCAGAAGTATTCGCAAAACCTTATTCGGCCAAATTTCCTTCTCATTGCTCTAGTAGCAAATGAGGGGAAAATTTAAGTCTTTTTAGTCTAAACTAAAGCTTTTTTAAAAGGTACTGAAGAGTTTCTTCATGCAAATATTGAATGATTTTCAATGAGTAACAGTGAAGATAATTTGGTTGATTCTCGGCAATAATGTATAATAATTCAGTGGATTTTTGGTAATAATGAGACAAAATAATTTAGTCTTAAACTAATGTTTGTGCATGTAGATTACGATAGCTCATTATTTACTGTCAGTTTTACCTTTAATGTGCCCACGTGATGTAAGTAAACTATAATGGTGATCTTTTTTCCTATTCTCTCCCAACTAGAAGAGCAAAGCCATACACGGGACTTAATGTTTGAAAGATAAAGAGACTGAAATGAAGGCTATATTAACACAATACCAGATTGCTTTTTGTTGTGACACAAAAAGCTATTCAGTATAGTATGAACCTCTATCTGATATGCGACTTTTCACTCTAGGGACAGGGTTCGTATAGAGTCTTGAATTCTTGAAAAAGTATTGAAATTAATTTGCCCAGCATTTTCCAGACCTGGAAAAAGTCTGGAAAATCAAGTCTGGAAAAATGGTAGAGTCTTGAGTTTTTTTTCAAAGCTACAACCAGCTGGCTTTTTATGTTTTTTTTTTTTCTTTTTGGTCAAATCTTATTCAGTTTCACCCATACGTTTGCAGTGCATCATGAAAAAAGCCTTGTTCCTGGGTTGTTTAGCTCTCTTTTGATCAACAACCTTATTTCTGAAAAAAAAAAGTCTGAGTCTGGAAAAAAAAAATGTGAAAAACAGCAGTCTTGAATTTTGGATCCAAAAATCTGTATGAGCCCCATGTTTCCTCAGGGATAGTAGGGATCAGCAGTGCACCCCATGCAAGAAAAAGCTTCACTCCTTTGGGTTGAATCACCATTCCCTAATGAAAAATGGGGACTACTCGTAGTCTGAACAGAAGCCCAAACCAATCTGGTATAGTGTGAAGATAGCCTGAGACCACAAATTATATTTATTACTGATTTATTACAACACTCAATTAAGAGATGTACTGTTGATAGTCTCAAAACATTATTTATTGTTCATAACAAAGGGAAGAAAGGTTTTTTCTTTGCTTTCAATAAAAATGTTGCAACGCAAAGTGTCTTTGAATGAATCTCTACAAGAGTATAAAATTATGATTTCAGTCCAATACATGTATGGAATGAAAAAACGAAATTTTTCTCCTCATAATTATTAAAAATACGCCTTTTTACAGAAATATTCAATAACAAAGGCAAAACTAAATTTTCAAAACCATTTTCATAACAATAACAAATTTTCAATAGAAAATTATGAACATGTTAATAATTATTACTTTACAATAATCAGGTCTGTTTAAGAACCTGTCAATAAAATATATTTGAGTTAATTTCTTGAAAAAATATAATAATTCGAAATATGTTCTTTTCTTTGACGTAATAAAAATTCAAAAGCTAAAACTGACTTTACATGTAAAACACCAACATGTATATCAGAACCTTGAAAAGCCTTAACACAAGTAATGCACCGATAAACGCTCATAAAAGTTTATGATGTTCAATCCTATTTTGTGGCTAGTCTTTACACTGTATATCCCAGATTCTTCCAAAGTACAATGATCCAACAGGCCTTGCTATTGATGAGAAAAGTGACTTATTGATGTTGATTCGTGGAAGTTCTTTCTTTAAGACCTCAATTCCCTCTGTGTTCAGGAAGCCAAAAATTTCCAAAGATTTAAGTGATTTACTCTGACTGCACAAACTATTAAAGAGAACAAAATAATGATTTGTAAAAGTCAGTGAGTTGAACAAACGGAGAAGGCATTTGAAAAAAAAAATACTGAATAAAGACAAAATCGACAAAGTCAATACTGGTAGCAAAAATAACTCCTTCCTATTTCCAACTCTGACTTTTCAGTTGTGCTTCTTATTATGCTGTGCAAATTGACCTTTCCACAGTTTTTTTTTTCAACTTTTTTCATGGACAAGTTAGGGAAAATCTGTCGACTCCGCTGGAAAAACTCCTCAAAAATGTGAAATTTTACAGAGGTTTGTATGGCTCAGGTGTCAGCAGAGCAGGGTTAAATGTTTTCTTTTAATGGATTGCAATGTTTACAAGTTTAATGTGTAAGTAAAAATTATAAATCTATTAATGGCAGCTTTGCTGTTGGCCTTGGCAAAATTATATAAATTATATATTATATGAAAATAAAAATATTTATTTTTACCTGAAGGCTGCAGGTGCGATGCTGTAACATCTACTAAGACTCAATTTAACAAGTTTTCCTAGTTTGAGAATTTGTTCCAATGATTTTCCTGTTAAATTAAATGCATCACTGAAAAAGAGAAAGAATAAAAGGTATTTATTAGATTATCCTTGTGTTTAATATATGATAACAGAAAACTACATAAAAAATAAAATATGTTGTCCGTATTATTTTGATAGCAATTAGATAATCAATTCCAGTAATCAATAGGCAAATCTTTGGTAACATAACATTAACGTGCTGTAAAGATCCCTGATCAGGTTGTTAAAATGACACCAAAGAATATCAAGAGAGTATGGCAATCATTATCATTTCTAATGGTTAAAACATTTTCAGTCCAATATACCAAATACTGTAGTCTCGGAGTAATTCTCCTAAAAAACTCCAAATTGAAGAAATGTTTGGCTTAGTAACAATTCAGCCATCCAGCAATTTTGCACTGTTTTTTATGACTGCTATTTCCTTTTAGTGAAAATTGCACAAATCGCTAAGTTGACCGCCTCTTTCAACTTTTGAGCTTGACAGTGACTTCTTCTATTTGTAAAGTCATATGCTAACAAGCAAACATTTTAAACTATTGTGTCAGCACAATTCTGCCTACAACCATCCAAAACATTATCAGTTACCTGAGGTCTAAGTGAGTCAGATTAGGACATGATTTAACCAGCTGTTTAACACCTAACATAAAAAGCAAAAAGGAGTGTAAGTGAGATCTCTGCTGTCATTGTATATAATTATGTCAGTAACACTAGTAACCCACTAGTAACCTGGTTGAAAAGACTAGTGGAACAAAGTCTAGAAACAATTCGGCAGCGAAAAATAGGGCTTTTAAATGTGCAGGTTTGTTTAAGGTTTTAAAAGTAATAGAGAATGGGATTTCTTTGGTTTGATTTTTTTCCAGGGGATTTAAATGTAGGCTTGCTTCCTACCCAAACAATTTATTTTTGGGTGGTTGAAATTTGTTCCCATGTGCAAACTTGCATCTTGAGTAACTGCTGGGTAGAGCTGTGCTCTAGAAGAGGACAGTGGCCCTGGCTTTTGCTCTCAGGGGACTAAAAATGGTAGTTTTTTCATACAGATCATAATATTCTGGCAACCCAGATTTTACAGGTTCAGAGCACTGAGCTCTCTTCAATTTTCCTCAGAGCACAACCTTGCAGTAAGGTAGCATGGCAAATGCAAACCTGAAACCTGCAAATAACACACCACCTCAAGCCTCCAAAAATAAAGAGAAATAAAATAATTATTAAATTAATGATAAACAAGTCCATGGTTAGACTTACAGTCATCAGTGAGTGTGTCCCTGCATCCACTCAGATTAAGTTGTTGAAGCTTTGGCAGGTTTTTAATGACATGTAAGATTGTTGGCTTGGAGAGATTTGTCCAGGCTAGATTTAGTTCCTTTAGCCTGAAATGTAAAAACATTTATGAAAAGGTACTTCTCAAACTCATTAATAATTCATTAAGAAAATACAAAGGAAATTAATGTTTAATGAGTGTTTGGAAATCGGATGAAACACTGCTTAGTATTTGCATCCTTAATTTCTCCTTCAAAAATGATTTTGTTTGAGAAGAAATATCAAACATTCGACACAGTGTTTCATCACCAGATGAAACACCTCGAAGATCGTAAAATACATTTCTGGTGATGAAACACTGCATCTCATGTTTGATATATTACTTGAAAGCATTCAGGGATTTCAGCTATCAGTAATGATATCACATGTGATTCCTAATATTGATTATTATTGTTCCCAGAGAGAAAACTGAAATTAACTCCATGCTCCTGTAAGCACAAGAGAACTGTGTAAGTTTGTTTTATAAGTTTGGATGGTACATGTAATAGCTAGGCAAGTTTTCCAGCTGTACATTTCATTTTAACGTTTCAACATTGTAAATGGCTGTGTCTTCACTATTGGGCCAATAATCACTAGATTTGGGGATTTTGTCAAGCTTGGTGTGATCATTGTGACTTTGAGGGTTTTGAGTTAGTACAGGAAACCCGGCAAATGGAATAAAATCATTTTGTCAAGAGGTAAGAAAACACATGGGTTCAAAAGTGAATTGTGTTTTGTAGTTTTATGAAATTACCAGGAATTTTTTCCACCAGACTTGACTAATGAGCACATTCCTGTGACTGTTAAACCAGTGCACATGGCAAGATTCAGAACTGTTAGGTTGCGAAATTCACTGATTGCCCTGAAAAAACAATAAAATTTATTTAGTAACTCTTTCCATCGGCTACAGTCATTAAATCAGGGTGTCAATTCAGGCATTTTATAAAGGAAGATACTTTCGGTTTAATTATTAATAATATTTAATCCTGTATAATTTAGCAGACTCACTTTAGAATTCTTACAGATATGGCACATGACTCCAAACTAAGGTGTGTTAACTGCTTTGAGTGCTGAAATTCCAATGAAAAGTAACATGTAAGAAAACATAAATGCAGTCAGACCTCATGAAATCGACCACCCAAAATGTAGACTTACATGTAGTGGTTGCTTATGGGAGGTGATCATTTATAGGAGTCAAGCCACAGATGATTTTTTGCAGGCAATTTTTGAGTTGCAATATGTGTAGTTCCCTGTTGCTGCAAAAAGGTCTTCCTTTACTCTAAGTTAAAGTAGTATAGTTCATGCAACGAACATAGAGATCAGACTATACGTCGAGTAGTTTACAGAAGGTTAAAAACAATGGAAAATTATTAAACTGTCAGTCATAGCATTAGAATTTTCATCACTTACCATGATAAGGGAGAAAAGTGTGTCATTTTCAAAGGAACAGCACGTAGCATCCAGGTACCTCAAGCTGAACATGGAGTTACTTAAAAAGAAATTTTAACTACAGTTAAGATGTAAATACATGCATTCAACTCCTTTTACTGTGAACACCCTTGGAACTATGAGTTAGTGTCTTTTATAGTGAGAGCAATAGCAGAGGGAGTGAAGCAAATTAAAAAAAATAAAACATTTGCACTTTTTGCTTACTATTATAAAACCTAAGTGTTGAGTAGGCGGAAAAAAAACTGGAAATGGCAAAATTGCCAACTGCCGGCTCATTTTGACTGGGCTGGTACTAAAAAAAGTAAATTATTTTGATCGATGCAAATATAGCATTAAACAGTTACTGGGTGGATGAAATATTTGTAATAATTTGGTTCTGAATGTTGACACTGAAGGCACTAGATGATAGTAAGTTGTACTGAGAGCAAGAACAATGAAATTGTTTTTATGGAACTTTACAACGAGTTTGTAAGTCTTATGGCAAGAGTCCTCAATAACGAGAGTTAGTTTCAGTTGAAAGTCAGTAACTTTAACTGGGGATTTAAGTCCCTGTCCTTATAATCAGGGTGTCTGTAATAGTATGGTGTTCACAAAGTGACAGCTTGACGGTGCGCTTGTTTGTGAAGATCTACGGACTGATAAAAATATGCCTAACTATATCACTTTGAATTGTGAGCACAGTTTAAATGACATTATTACAAAGATTACTTCTTGCTTTACCTTGGAGATTCTGGTGATAAAGGAACTATGTCTGGAAATGATGAATTATCATCATGATATAATGGTGATGCAACCTGAAATTAGTGAAATAGAGAGGAAAGGATCTGCAAGTTAGGGTATACATGTACTAGCAAACGATACCAGTACAATAGCCTTTTCTAGGCGTTCAGATAGTGTAGCAAAGTCAGAGAGCAGGACAAAAAATAAGGAGTAAGAGTGGAGAGGGAGAGAGGAGGAATACCATTCCTTTGCTCTCACCGCCTACCCCTCCCCTAGCTGTTTTTCCTGTCTTTTGGCACTGTCCCCACAACCTGAATGCTGTACAACAAATTAATTCAAACAAATAAACGTCCGCTGTAAGCTAGTGAAAAGGTACGTGGTAAATGATACTGGTAAAACAAATTTAAATATTTAAGAATGAGTTGCTTTAAATGACAAGCACTTTGGGTGTGAAAACCTCTAAGAAATGAGCCTGTAGACACTTTGAGGGGAGCAAAAAAATCCTGTTTAATAGGAGTTCTGTGCTTTTGTGAAAAGGTAGTCTGGGTCTGCATGATCTAGAGCTGTTGTTCTTGAACTTGTCATGTAAAACAGCTTGTCTATTTACTTTCCCCTTGAAAAAAATGTAGCTCCTTGTAGTGTTCTTTTTGTTCCTTGACCTTTCTATTTTTTTAAAGGCTTTTCGTCAAAGATGAATAACAAAAGCACACCTTTGCTTGAGCTAAGCGCAATACTCTAGTGCCACGTTTCAAAACTTTTCCTAACAGTCCTGAAGGTAGGTTAGCCTTTGTCATATCTACACATCTCCAAAGACTTTCATCGTATCTAAAGAAAAAAATATCATGATTTAACATTAATAACCAGCCCCAAGATTTGTTTCATAAGACAAAAATATGTACTGATGGTGGTTTCCATGTCATGGCTACCGCTAATCAAAATATACAGTTACCTGTATGAATAAAATAGCCAACAAGCCAATATCAGAGAAAAAAAGCTAATGGGCCGAGTAGCTGTTACACCATGCCTTTGCACATAACATATTATTAGATTTAGCAAAGTTGTCTCCAAGAGTTTTTGATGAAAAACGATTTCCTTTGTGCGTGCTATTTAGGATTTGACTGATCTGACTGGATGGCTTTGTTTAAAAGTGAATTCTCATTACCACAGGAATGGCCTGGCTGGTCAGATCTGACAAAAGGAAAGCACCCTAAGAGTGACCAAAATCAATCTTCTCCTAATGACATCCATATATTGTCAAGAGATTAGGTTATGAGAAGTTATATTAAATTTTAATGATCACACAAGAGAAAATGCCTTGATCGTTTATCAAATTCTTTGAACCAGTTCTGTAAGGAAATGTATGGAGATCAGTTTGGAGAATTTGTATGTGGATATTGGGGCTTAAAGGATGGGAATTGAACACCTTCTACATGTAGGAAGATCTTCTTATTCTATTTTCCTTTTGTATCTTGGGGTTAAGGATGGCGCAGTGGTGAGAGCACTTGCCTCCGCCTCCCACTAATGTGGTGTGGCATCGAATCCTGGCATCGATGCCATATCTGGGTTGAGTTTGTTGTTGGTTCTCTCCTTTGCTTCGAGAGGTTTTTCTCCAGGTACTCCAGTTTTCCCTTCTCGTTTATAACCAACACTTCCAAACTCCAATTAAATTTGATCTGGAATGCACGGACACGTTTCAACAAGTTCTCATGAACTCCTAAGTGCTCGTGGGTTAAACAAATTTATTACAATTGCAATTTAGTAACTGGGACAAATCCCTAGGCTTTGGCCTTTAGTGACAGCCCTGACAGCTGACGAAAAGCATCAGCTTATTCATTCAAAGCCAGTATATTTAGAGGCAAGCGGCTCAATTTTGAAGTAGGCAGCTGGTTTGACACGACACTACTTACACTAATCTATGCCAGTGCTTACAAACACATGCACACTTGACTATTGTTTTCTTCGGCAAGAGTTGGAAGATTGCCAAAATAATTTCATCTGAGAGTGATATCCAGTAATCTTCAAAGAAAACAGAGAAAACCACCATGAATATCAGGGGGAAGGAAATGTAATGTGAAAAAGATAAATGTTGTTTAAAAAATTATTAGAGTGATGTGATGATGATGATGATGAAGGTAATGAAAAGTATGATAATACTGATGATGATGACGAAGAAGAAGAAGAAACTTTAATTAATGAGAGCAGAGACATTATTACTGGTTGCAGAACCGGGGTAATTTTCATAATGGCCCTCCACCCAGGGCTCTTTGGTGTTACTGTAAGTCATGCAGGTCAATTCTTACTTGTGGTAGGCTTATCACTTTGGATTGCCGTGATATTTCCTTGTCTATTCTGTGAACAATCATAACATCCTTCCCTGACTGAACTACTTTTCCAACTGCCTCTGTTAGATGGCTGACCAGTAGATGTTAATTTTGCTACTAAAGATGACGTCCTACCCCAGTGACTCACAACAAACTTGTGACTGGGAGCCTAATGAACGAAATAATAAATGTCAGACAAAATTAATACACAGTCAAAGAATTCCCAGGGGGGGTCAAGGGCATAGCATAAGATTTTGAAGGTGTACACACAGGAAGAAACAAGAAGGGTGCCAAAGGCAGTTAAAACTAGGGGGCATGGGGACATGCTCCCTCAGAAAATGTTCAAATTTAGGGTCTTGGGAATGGACATTTTTAGCAAATAAATAGGAATGAAAATACAGTGGTTAGTTGTTTATTTTACGGATCTCTTGTGTTATCAGTGGGTAAGGCTGCAATGGTGAGACATCTACCCTTCAGACGGGCAAAGACATCAATTTAATGCGAAGAAGTTATCAGTCATTGCAATTTAATCATAGAAATGCTTTCGGAAAGGTATATTTTGTCCAGATTTTAGCTGTACGCACAGGTGTATGTGCATACATGGATGCTACACTCCTAGGAATCTCATATGAAAGATAGGCCCATTTCAAACATCGTGCTCCTGCTGTGCCAAACTCAATTGATCAAATTAAATTCGACTTTAGTACAGCAATATTGCGAAGTTTGAAACCAAGTTGTGCTACTGCCATGCTACACAGCAGTAGCTCGACCTGGTTTCAAACGTCGTGCTACTGCCGTGCCAAACTCAATTCATAACATTGGAATACAATTAAAAGCTTGCTAAACCATTTCTTTAATTTTGTGTTTTGTTTTTGGCAACAGCCGTTCTATTCGACTGAATTAAATTTGACGTCTGAAACCAAGTTGTGCAGCAGTGGAGCTACAGTCAATCCAGCTTAGCACCGCAGTAGCACGACTTTTGAAATAGGCCATACTGGAATACTCCTTTTTGCCTCACTTAAGGGTAAAAAACTGCAAATTTTCATCTCACTGAGAGTGTTCAGGATGGAATGCTAATACTTTAATGCCCATATGGGTTGCGACAGGTAATATAAAAACAACAACAGCATGACACTTAAAGCCGCATGGTGTTATTCTAGAGGCCCTGTTAGTGTATAATTCCAACAAGCGACATGGCCTTGAAACAGGGTGAACATGGGACTGCAGAAATGGCAACAAACGACACAAAGATGGGTTGGAACTAGCCTTCATAGCAGGTGTCGAAAGGGGTAGGGGATTGGGAGCAAGGGAAAAAGGGAAGGGGATTTTCACCCAGGCTAGGTTGAAACTGGGACAATGACAGAGAAAACCGCACATACAATAGTGAAATACCAACAACAGCGTAATATGGCTTCCTCCTCAATAAACAAAACAACAGGTTTTGAAATTCAGATTAAGCAGATACATAACCTCTCCTAAGAGGGCCTCATTCTATAATTTATAAAAGAATAAACAAGCTTAATAAACAAATACGTATAATAAATAAATAAATAAATAAAATTCATCTTCAAGGAATTGCCCACTCACTATCTTAAAATTTTAGCTGTATTTTAGCTGCATTTCTGGCTTTGTGCATAAAAGGTTGTTTTTTTTTAAATTTGTGGTTAACTTTGTTCATTATTCTACGATTTGGCGGGAGACAAGTCGCATGATTAATATTTGGCCTGGAGGGAGCTGGTATGTTCTGTAACTCCGTTCGCTGCTCTTTTTTCGCCTTGGTAAGAGTACGCCCGAGTCTATTTCAAGACAATGAAATTGTCCGCTTATTGATAAACAATAAGCAGCGTTCCATTCAAAGAAAGGAATGAATAGACAATCATGTAACAGATCATCACCGAAGGAGGTCAATTGAATGGCGGGAAATGGTAATTTTCCTCGCAGCATTGCTAAAAGTATTGCTATGAAATAGCTTGAAATAATCAAATAGTCCATATTATGAAGATGTCTATTCATGAACTGTGTATTTACCTGCAAAATTGAGTGACGATTTAGTGGGTTTACTCGAATGATTTCCTGACTCAACTCTCTTTCATCTTCAGCAGGCCACTGGAGCTCTTCGACGCCTAGTTCTTTGTAAGTCGAAATGGCCTTCGATCTGTATAAAAGCAAGTTTAATTTAAACTGTTACAGATATTTGTGTCTTTGTACTGTTAAACTGCTAAAACTCACCTGGTTCGTACGGGATTTCTCCTACGATTTTTCGTTCGCGCGGCGGCCATGGCAGCATCGAAGACGAATTTCCCGCTCCGGAAAAGAACAACGAATGACAACAAACTCTCGCTCACCAAAACGAGGCAAGGTCTTCAGGACCGCCGGACTTGAACTTTTGATTTGAAGGAAAATGGATTCGGACATCTTTCAAGCGGAATATAAACTTTAACTGTAATAGTAAACAAATCTTTGAATAGTATTCCGCTTGCATTTGAAAATAATAATTTTTATTGCATTACTGTGTTTTTAATTCCGATAATAACTCCTCTTCCTCAGACAGGCCTGTAACCGCCTGTGGCGTTCTACTAGTAAAATTATAAAATAGTTTTCATTTTATAACTTCAATTGGATTCCCACAACATGACTGCCATTTACAATGAGTAATAATTGTGTAAACGATAGTTCCGTATTCGCGTGTCAAAAACGTGGATGGAGTAACTTAAGGAAAAACTGGAATACGTCTATTCTGGGGATGTGAAAACGAGAATTGAGGCACGCGGACCGAGGTTTTCTGTTTTGCGTTACATTGGGGCTCGCCTCCACCCCCTCCTTCTGTCTGAAATTGTGCTAAAATTTTTAAAATCTGCTTTCTGGGGCCTTTTTTCCGGACAGAGATGACCTCAGAGTTTTTTTTACCCAGTAAACAATTGAAAATAGCATCTACAAAACTTGCAAATCTTTCTGAGTTTTCTGGATCCGCCCCAGCCTCTTGTTGGAAGAGTTAAAATTAGATTTTAATTTACGAATTTAATGGTTTTGTTTAAAAGTTAAGATTAAATAATAATAATAATAATAATATTAATATTTGGAAGCGCACCCTTGTCAGCCATCCTGGGTACTGCCCGTATCTTGTGAAAAGTTTAATGTCCCTAAGTCGCGGGATTGCTGCTGAGACATGGCTGAGAATTCCGAGAAAAAGAACTGGAGAGGATCACACCATGATAATAATATAATAAAACTGGTATGACACAACAGCTCAGGCCTCAAAGGCGCGATAGGGACCGAGGTTTGTTCGATGAGAATCAAATGCAGGGCTGTGACTAGGGGTCGGGCGGGGAACTTCCTAGCTGCTCAGTTCTCCGCCTATTAACTACACATACCGGGCAACTTGAAATTTTGGTGAAAACCCCTGGGAGTGGGATATTTTTGTGACTAGGAGTGAGATTTGACGTAAACTTATATCTAAAAAAGGAGGGAAGAATGGAAAGAGGAGTCTCGCTTATGACCCTGAATCACAAAAAGAACGCAAAAGATTTTAACGAAAGGAAAATTATTGCACATTCTTGGTTGATATAAGATACTCCTTGTCTTTGATTTTTGAAAGATAGTCAAGGGAGAGAGGTGTCAAAGATGGATTATATTGAGGTTGATTAAGTGAATTTCAGTGGGGCAGGCAAGGCAATTATTGTGTTGAACTACAATGGAGGCGAGCAAAACACGTTTTCCCTTGTCTCGACCTTACTATTCGAGAGCCTAGAACAGACTGCACGCCTTTTGACTTAAAGAGGTCTGAAACAATTTTTATGTGATGCAATATTTAATTTTCACTTTCCAACGTGCAAAGGCAGGACAAGGGAAAAAATTCCCCAGCTGGTCGTCTCGTCGGAAAAGAACAACTTCTTTTCGTCATCTTGTCCTGCATCGACAAGATAATCAGCTCTTTAGTCTTAACACAGTTCTTGCATCTTTCGCAGTTCTCGCCATAACTGTACAAGAGAGCGTGCAAGACTAGAGCTTGCTTGCTGGCATTCTCTTAGAATATTTAGTCTATTGACAAAACCAAACACTGCACGGTTTTTTCGAGACATCAATGAAAGTTTTCAAGACAGGTTCTCGTTGAAACGCTTAGTCACGTTGCTTGGCAACACCGCCTGGATAACGGGCTGATGAAGTAACACTTATTTGACTCAAAGTGTTTATCGTCACCAGGGTTCCCCCAGTGACGCTAATTGACTGCATGAACAATCATCTATCCTCGTTTTTCTCTCTCCTGGCTGCCTCTTTCACATTTTCTCTTCTTGCAGCGGCTCTTTCCTCAGATTTAGCTGAGAATAAAAGAATAAAACAGTTTACTTTTTTAGCTCCTTTTAGCACCGTGCGTTTGAAACTTTGTACTGCGAAAAAGATAATTGAGATTGTAGCTACAAAGTTTTTGGACGAAAAATGAACAAATTAGAGAGAAATAAAATTATAAACAACAGCTACTGAGTAGTACTTTGTCGTGGTACTTTTACTTATGATGATTTTTAAGATGAATGTAACTTTTCAGTCTTTGGATAAACTCATAAATGTGACTTTTCAGAAGAACGTTACTGAAAGGTACTTTGGAACTGTGCTTTACTACCGTATATGATCGAGTAAGCCCAGCGGCGCTTATTTCATTTTCCCTGTTAAAGATGCGGCGCTTATTTTAACTAAGGGTGAAACATTGAGGGGAATATGGAGGGAATTAAGTTAGGCGCGTACTAGGTATGCACAATTTAATATAAATTATGTATACCTCGAACTGTTATGTGAACCCGGTTTCAAGAGTTTCCCTACATTAGAACTTTAGAACTCACGATTTGGTCGAGGTCTTATTTCTCAAGCGATATGGTTTTGATTGTACCAAGCGTGATAAGGTGGGGCGTAAGCACCCAAATTAGCACCGCGGCGCTCATTCGAGAGCGGCGCTTATTTAATTATTTTCGGTAAAGGTGCGGCGCTTAATCGACCATTTACGGTATATGGCTGAATCCGCGAACATGAAACCTCTTGCGGAGGAGTCCGCTACCGGCTATGACTGGAGGGCGATCATTGAAAACAAGTGAATCCTGAAGGTTTTAAGTTCATTGTTCCACTGATGAGTTGGCTAAAGTACTTACCAATACGAGAACCAATGAAGGAGTAACTTTTGCTTTTTCTGTACGCTTCAAAAGGATCGTTCATTTCACTTCCAACTCCCTGAAGAGTGACAAAAATGATCATTAAACTACTGTTATGGTTCATAAAAAGCAACTGGTATTTTCTAAATTACGAGTCTCATCTGTAACAAAACAAAACTTACAAAAAAGGACAAAACACTTACAAAAGATCTGAGGGGTCCGTTTCTCGTAAGTCCCGATAATTAACGGGCCCGGTAAGCTGTCTCCGTTTACATTAAAGTTCGACGTTTCAAGAGTTTTGCATCTAACATGATAAAACTATCAGCTAATGAACAAAATGGAGTAGTTTGCTGGCCAGGACCCGCGCCCTTATTCTTATATTTCGATTTGAATATTTGATTTCGGGCCCGAAAAGTTACCGGGACTTTCGAGAAACGGGCCCCAGCTGGCCCGGTTACACAAGCGTTGGATAGCGCTATCCACCGGACAAATCACTATCCAGCGTATAAGTATTACGAAAACCAATTGCACTTTTCACTAGCCTGCGAGCAAGCTCCCCGGGGCTCTCTAGCATAGGGGCGTCCTTCCGTATTCCCTCTCCCACCCCCATACCTCCAGGAGCTCCGGGAGATAAATGCGGGGGATAGCGTTGCCCGCCTTTCGAACAATTAAGCCCTGTTAGAAACAACAGTGGACCCTCACCTTGTACTTATCAAACTTATCCCGAACCTCCCCCCCTGATATCGGATCACTGATTCCTTGCTGGGTTCTCCCCAGGCCTGCTCCGCCCCATCCTGTAAAAGTCAAAAAAAATAAAATAAAAATAAATAAATAAATAGATCAATAAATTAATATTACGCTAAGTAGGCAACTATAGCGACAGCAAGTTAATTTCAAAACTGTAGGGGAAAAAATTAGGGTGTTTGTTTAAACTTTGAATGTTTTAGTCGATTTGCCGTGTGTATGTGTTGTAGTTAATTTTTTATCTCACGTAATTTTTGTTTTTCTTTTGTTTTTGGGTATGGTAATGTATGCTAATGAAGTTGAAACAAAAGAAACATACAAATTACCTTTAGATGAAAATTTAACTACAAGATATGCAAGTCAACTTCTCTGTGCGTTATTTTGAGGGTCACCAATAAGGTTCTTCAATCCAGTCATTCCGACCCAAATTTTCGTGCAATCCTGTAATCCCGAGGGTTATTTTTGCCATCCCGCATTCCGAGCGACCGGGGGGAGTTCTTCCTAGTAGTACCGTACGCTAATAGGTATGTGGATGGGATAGCATCTTCACGACTGGATTGACAAGTATGGCGTCGCACATTTTCAGGATTTTTGGGTCCGAAAAATCAGGTATGTAGGGATTTAAAAATAGAAAGAATTTACACCCACATTAAGTTTAACAAACGTCATTATGTGTCAGTTCATTTCAGGGTGACCAAGTTAAAAGGCTTTATAAGGTAGACGCAGAAACAGAACGTGACTAAGTTGGGATTGTGAAATTACTTTTTTCCAAAAGTGACTAAGATGGGGTCTATAATATGGCCACAGAATAGACTATAATGGGGTAGGGGTTAAAAGAGGCCAGCGGCATATACCCAGCAAAAATTAACCCACGTAACCCTTCCCCTACGGGCCCAAGCATAATGTCAACCCCGAATCCCGCCCCCATTTTGCTTTAAAATGCTGCATCCTGGCCTTCAAATAAGGGAAATCCGGCATCCCGAAAAACCCTACTGGGGAGCCTCTATTTGTATGGTGATAACAGGCATTAGTAAAATCCAACTAGTGATCTATTATCAATGCTACGTTCTGATTGGTTGAGCTACTACTAGGCTATATGTTATCGCCCACTAGTAGCGAAAGCGCCGGCTTTTTGGCGGCAAAAAAAAGATTAACGTCTGGCTTTAACTAGCTAAAGTTGTTTTGTCTCGATATTTTTGACCAGCTAGTTGGATTTTACTAAAACAATTATTTCTCTCGCCCTCATGGCCTCTGAGTCAATAGCCCATTCGGCCGAAGAGCCAATTTGGGCTCGAGGAATAATTGTTCATTATTCCAACAGCTCACCCATTTTCTTCAGCATCTGATGTCCTACATTGCTCTCATCAAGCTTCTGCTCGGGTACCTTGGATGTATAAGTCGGACTGAAAACAGAAAACAAGACATAAATTGATTATTCCCCGAATCGTTTGCTACCGTATACCAACAGAAATGGTGTAAAATCAACCACTTACTGAAAACTTGGCGGTGTAGGGCTTCTACCAGGACTTCTGTTTGACTTGAACATCGGCGAGATTGATCGTGACCGGGATCGAGAGCGTGACCGTGAGCGTGACTTTGAACGAGAGCGTGACCTGGAGCGAGAACGCGGTGATCTTGAACGTGAGCGTGACCTAGACGTACGGAAAAGGATAATTAAAATATACTTGTTATCTTGGTGCTGTCACGCAACGCTTCTTCCAATAAGTGACAACTCCTTTCTTGATTGGTTAGGTGCGTGGAAAAGCCTCATCTAATTACACATTAACAATACTATTACAATTTACCTTCTCCTTTTAGGAGAGATAGAACGACTGCGACGCCTCCTGGGAGACCTGGAACGAGAACGAGATCGCCGCTGACGAGGAGACTGGGAACGAGATCTCGAACGGCGGGGTGATCTGGACCTCGACCTCGACCTAAGAGGAAAGAATAGACTTTGAGAGCATGCACAGAGGCCTTTTCGGCGTTTAGAGCAAAACTACCCTCGTAGGCTAGGAGATGTATTGGTAGGTGACAAAAGTCATCACTGGTGTTCGTTAGCTTCTTACCTTGATCGGCTTTGTGGGATCTCTGGGACTTTGTTTTTTTCTGCTTCTTCGCGGTCCTTGATATACCTCAACTTTGCTTTGTAAAATTCAAACAGTCCGCTTTGTTCCCATCCTTCACTGGAGCACAAAACAAATCAGTTTATTTCATGATATTAGCCGACGAAATCAGAGCAAAAAGCACTTAAATTGCTAGATAACTGCTACAGCGTGAGTTTTTTAAGCTTAGAATTAAATTTAAAAGCTACTTTAGCAACTTGGCAAAGATACTTTCCTGAGAAAAAGGCCATTTCCGAGTTGCGCCAGGCCTCTGTTTCAAGAAGAGGATAAGAGCGAAGCGATTGATATGAAAAGGATTTTTTTTCTCACGCAAATAAAACATTTCCACAAGAAAGGTTTTGCACTTAGCCTCGTTTTGAAAGTGAGAGTTCTTGGAACACGGAAATGGCCTATCTTTAAAGCCCATGGGAAAACTGAAAAGAAACGACTAGACTAGCAAAGTCTTTGTTTCTCTCAGTTTAAGAGAAATACGTTGAGCATCGGTGCAGGCAGTCAATGGAAAACCGTTTGCCATAGATGTGTTGTTTTATCTCTTCTCCATCTCTCTGATAAGGGTTTGGAACTGTTTCTAGAATGGAACCAACAAGAACACGCTTTCCTAATGGGCAAACTTGACAAGGACAACGTTGCCCGTGAAAACGAGGCCTTTCTCTGACTGCTTGAAAAATTGGCGCGAGATTATTCCAGCCAATCACAAAATTGTTTACCACTCTCAAACTAACCTGTTCCTGGGTCTTTCATGACTTGGTGGACTATAAAACGCTTCAACTGCAGCTAAAAGCCGTTCACTCGGTGGCTGTGGTGCGGGTAGACGTAGCATGGAAGGATCTAATGGTTTGTAGTCCACATCTGATAACTGTTTAAAGATAACATTATATGTTATTGTATGCAGCAAGGGTCAACGTACAAAAAAAAGACGGACCCTAAAGGATCTAGTCAGCACGTTGTGATTGGTCGTTGCCCATGATCTGTTGGAAGTATAGATGCATGGATGACGTCACGGGAAACTTGTTTATCTTTGTTTTGTTAAAAATGGCGCGAGGTTTTGAAAATATTTGTGAGATTATTTCGGATAAAGCAAGTGAAAGCCTCGAAAAGCGTTTAGCAGGGGCCATTTACAAAGAAGAAAAATAGAGAAACGGAGACATAAAGAACTTAACTACAAGAATAAAAAGAAAAATCTCTGACACATTTATCAGTCAGTGACTGCAGTTGCAGCAGGATTCTTACCCCCACAAGCGGTGCCATGAGGCCTGCCGGAAGCTCGTAGTACAATGCCGTAGGTATAATAGGCTCGGGTGGCGGGGGCTCCGGAGGCATATCATACTCATCCATCCCATACCCCTCGTCATCTTTCGGCCTACCGTGATTGTACTCATTCACCATTGAAGGTGGAGGACCACGCCCTTCAAACTGATCGAATTCTGACCGCTGGTGTTGGTAGTCAAATTGTTGCGGGGGTCCGCGGAATGGAGGCGGTCTGGATAAAAGAAACGTGGAAATACATACTCAGTTTCGTAAATTCATCCGCATCACAGTTTTGTAACAGTAGCTCAAATCTATTTAAAAATACAACTAGTAATAACCAAATGTTAGGGAGACGGCGCGACAACGATCGAAGGTCCAAACGCTTTTACTCCAACGCTGTGCTTTGCGTAAGTTTTATTTGACAGATGGTCAAAATACGCGTGATCAGATCACGCGGGGTAGAAGGTTGAAACGCGCGTAATCAAATTGCGTTTGGTGCATTCCATTCATTCTTAGTAGAAGTCCAAACGAATGCTAGCTACATGCATGCGACGCATGCGTAATAACAACCTGAAGATTAGGATAGCGGGCTCCTCTTTTCGCCCGCAACAATTTCCTGTTGTCTATACTTTTGTAGACCACAGTAATAATCCACCGTTTGAGTATTCCGACGTCATTTCTTTGGTCGATGTAAGTGTATAGACAAAATAAAACTGTTGTCTATTTGTTTTTAAAACAAAATTTCAAGTTCTAAACGTCGATTGGCGGCGAAGTTCCTCGGAAAACCCGCGAGAGAGAAACAGAGAAACAAATTATGTCAGGGTTTGTCAAGATCGGTGAGGTGTTGCGCGAAATGCCTTCTGCTTCGCCTAGATTGTATCACCTCTCTTTTTCAGGCTGTCAAGGGTCGCGCAGGAAGCAGCCGAGCACAATAATGAAAAAAGCGGCAAGGTTCTCGCTTTGGACTACATCTGCTAAGAAGTCAAAAAACGGTCTCTCTATCGGGTTTCAAATTCGTTAAATGGCTCTGACAGGAAACTGCGTGCGTGTAAATGCGTCCGTGTAATTGTCCTCTTAACTAGCTAACTGGAAAAGAGCCGATGCCGCCCTTTCACGTTTGCCCCCGTTCTAGTTCGACCTTCGATTCCGATCTTGACTAGGGTTAAGCACAGACTACAATGATGAGAGCTACGCGCTGACAATTTAAGGTTTTGCACTGACTGTAAATTAATAGTTAGCTTTTATTTACTATTAGATTTGTCAATAAGAAGACGGGGGAAGGGGGGAACTAGGATAAATCACAAAATATACTCACCTTCCGTGGAATCTGTCATCATGAAAGTTGGGTGGCGGGTGACCATACATTGGAGGGGGATGTCGGAAGTCGGGCATATAACCCGGCGGGGGTGGAAAACGAGGGGGGAATGGAGGGGGACCATGACCGAAGTATTGATCACCATAAGGAGGAGGGAAGGGAGGCGGATGCTGAAAATGCCCCGGCCCCGGTTGGTATGGCGGCTGTCTTGGTACATCTTCCTGCGCAAAAAACAAAAAAGTGAAAAAATTCGTTTTATTAACTGAGGTGATAAGGCCCGTTTACAATGCACCAGCGTAAAATGATCAAAAGCTGACGTTTCGAGCACTAGCTCTTGGGGCATCTGGTCAACTCGCTACCAAACCATCTCGCCATCAAGAGAGGTATACCGAGGTGGTTTGCGGTCGTTTGGCTAACGTTAGTAAACGGGACGTTGGCGAAACAACTCGTAAGCGAAATGGCCGGTCACTGGGGAAGACGACAGATTCTAAAGTTTAATATGGCTTGACTGAATGGCTCGAAACTGAAGACAAACAACGCGATGGAATGGTCAGGGCTCGAACCCAGACTTCCACATCTGAAGTTTGAGGCATTAAAAACCTTTAGTCTAGCATGCCTTCACAAACACCACTCTACTGCAACACAGAAAACACATTTTACCCTTTTTTCAGAGTCTTCTGTTGTCGCTTGCTCAGTGACTTCTTCCTTGATTTCAGTCTTTACGGGATCCTTTGCCTGTTGATCTTTTTCTTTGCCTCTGGTTTCTTGAGAAGCAGTTTCTAATTTCTGGTCTTGTGTTTTGTCTGAACATTATAACCAAAAACGAAGACAATTAACTCCTTCTTAACCGACACCTTCACTTACATAGACAATTAGGGCGCTTTCCATTTGTCAGAAGTGGCCGGTCGGACCATTACCCGACCAGTCAGTTTGAAACTGAAATCGGCTTTTTCAAAGAGTTTTTGTTGAAAAACGTTCTCCTTCGTGCATACTGTTTAGGATTTGACTGATCTGGCTGGAGAGTTTTGATTAAAAGGAAAATTGTCATTGTGACGAGGATGGTTTGAAGGTGCCCTTAGAGCTCGTGTTTGTCATTCTCATGGCCATAAAGGTCAAGGGGCCGGAAGTGTTACCTCACTTTTCATTAGTGAAGAATGGTGCCACTAGACCCATCGCCAAGCAGGGACCTCCAGCCATAACCTTCTGTACCCCCACCTACACGCATGAATTTATTTATAATATTATTCCTTTTTTAGATTTTAGAACTTAGCGCAATTGCTGGGGTAGGAGAAAGGACAGAAATCCCCTCCAAGATAATAACACCTAGACATGCACAAGCATGGCCCTCTCATGCCGACAGTATTGGACAAAGCTCGCCATTACCTTCTGCAACCTCCCCACCACCTCCACAAATCCTGCCAACTTTATCCCTACAATACTGAGTCCTTCAGTCATTTTATTCAACTGTCTACAAGAAAGACAGCTCTCTAAATGACCAGTTACTGCTAATCCGAATGGTGTCTGTCTTAGAGACAGTTGACTCTGAAATGTGATAAATGCCTTTTGGTATCTGGAACTTACTGTGAAACCACAAGCAAGGCATTCTAGGTTTGCATTTTCCAGTGAAAGATTTGGCATTTCTTCAAGCTACTACCTAGACTTTCCCAAACTCCTTTTTGACTCTAGCAAGCCTGGAAATAAAGCTTAAATTCCTCTTTCTAATACTACATTAACTCTCTTTGCTCTAAGTACTTGGCTTTCACATATTGACTTGTCTGCAACTCTAACAGAAATCTGAATTTACGATGTAGCAAACAACAACAGTTATTCTTAAAAAAATTACCTTCCCTTCCTTGTGAAAGTTGTTGGTCGGTCTGTGCTACTTGTTGGTTTGGCTGAGACTGTTGATAATACTGTCGATATGGATCTGAAGACGGTGCATAATAACCTTTGAAAGAAGTCAATCACTGAGCATTAACAAAGTTGGATTCTTAAAACTCTTCATATGACAATAGTTTACGGCTGTGATAGCCAATACTCAATCACAAGTGAGGAGAGAGTACAGAACATGCACTCTGCCCTTTACTCTTTTACTCTGAACAGGGATCAAAAGCCCCCCCCCCCAAAAAAGCCGACTCTTTTCATAAAACACCTATTAAAAGATGGTACCTTTAACAAGTGCTAGTGAAAAGGTTTCCTTTGAATGGTAATGATGTCAGACATCTAATGTTGGATGTCTGATAACAGATGTCTGATGACAGAGGTATGATGTCAGACGTCTCATGTTGGATGTCTGATAACAGACATCTGATGACAGAGGTATGATGTCAGACGTGTGATAACAGATGTCTGTTAAAAGACGTCTCATGTCAGACGTCTGATGACTTAGGTATGATGTCAGACGTCTGATGTCAAATGTCTGATGACAGATGTCTAAGAACAGACGTCTGATGTTAGATGTCTGATGACAGATGTCTGAAACCAGACATCTGATGTCAGACGTCTGATGACAGATGTATGATGTTAGATGTCTGATGTCAGATGTCTGATGACAGATGTCTGATGTCAGACATCTGATGTTTTATGTGTGATGACAGATCTCTGATGTCAGATGTCTGATGACAGCTGTGTCCGATTCCAGACGTCTGATATCGTATTAGACATCTGATGACATACGTATGATGTCTTGTCTGATGTTTGTTGTGTGATATTAGACGTCTGATGTCTAATGTCACATGTCTGATATTACGTCTGATGTCTGATACCAGATGTCTGATGTCGTATCACACATCTGATGTCTTATCTGATACCAGACGTCTGATGTCTAATGTCAGATGTCTGATATCACACGTCTGATGTCTGATACCAGATGACTGATGTCATATCAGACGTCTGATGACATGCGTCTGATGTCTTGTCTGATACCAGATGTCTGATGTGTAATGTCAGACGTCTGATGTTCATTGTGTGATATCCAACGTCTGATGTCTAATATCAGACGTCAGATGTTTTTGTCTCATGTTTAATGTCAGACGTCTGTTGTTTGTTGTCTGATATCTGACGTCTGATGTTGGTTGTCTGATGTCAGGCATCTAATGTGTAAAGTCAGACGTCTGATGTTTGTTGTCTGATGTTGGATGTCTGATGTTTGATTTCAGACGTCTGATGACATGTCTGATGTCTTGTCTGATACCAGACGTCTGATGTGTAATGTCAGATGTCTGATGTTTGTTGTCTGATATCAGACATCTGATGTGTAATGTCAGACGTCTGATGTCTAATGTCATATGTCTGATACCAGATGTCTGATGTTGTATCAGAAGTCTGATGTTTGATTTCAGACATCTGATGACATACGTCTTATGTCTTGTTCGATACCAAATGTCTGTTGTGTAATGTCAGACGTCTGATGTTTGTTGTCGGATATCAGACTTCTGATGTGTAATGTCAGATGTCTGACTTTTGTTTTCTGATGTCAGACGTCTGATGTCTGATGTCATATGTCTGATACCAGATGTCTGATGTCGTATCAGAAGTCTGATGTTTGATTTCAGACGTCTGATGTCTGATGTCATATGTGCGATACCTGATGTCTGATGTCGTATCAGACATTTGATGTTTCATTTAAGACGTCTGATCACAGATGTCTGATGTCTTGTCTGATAGCAGACATCTGATGTGTAATGTCAGACGTCTGATGTTTGTTGTCTGATATTAGATGTCTGATGTTTAATGTCAGAGGTCTGATGTTTGTCGTCTGATGTCAGACGTCTGATGATACATGTCCGATACCAGTCGTGTGATGTTTGATGTCTTGTCAGGCAACGTACGTTATCAGAAGTCTGAAATCTAACATCAGACAACAAACATCAGACGTGTGTCATCCCTAGTGATATACCTAGTGATATGTGTTCCCCAACTCAGGAAACAAATATCCCTAGCGATATATGTTCCCCTTCCCCTGAAATACATATCCCTTATTAATTGTTGCGTTTCTCCAACAATTTACAGCCAGCGAAAACCTCAAGTAGCCAGCGCAGTTTGACAACTCTGCTTGTCGCCCTCAACACGCAATAATATTAGACCTGTCTTCAGCAACTGAACCTTTAAGCAGGGTAATTTCAAGCATAACTATAGAGCTTAGTCACATAATAAAAGCAAACTAAAACAAATGTTTCAAACCTTGTGGTCCAAATACTTGCTCTCGTGCTGCGTCAACTTTACTCTGAGCACCTTCAGCATTTTTCAGTTCCTTGAAATTAAAATAATCAACACTGAATCAAAAAAGGTCTTATAGGTGAAATGTATCAACTGCCTTTTACGGAAAAACCAAATGAGCAAAATAAGTTAAGTTAATCCAGTAAGCATCATTGATTGTAAGAGTTTGAACAACAATTATTGTTGTTGTACAACTAAAGAAGATCTAGAGGAATGAGCACAGCACAAGAGGCCACTTCAGGGCCTCTGATCAACATTAAATTTGTAATATCAATGCTTTGTAAAACAGAGTGGTCATGAGAATTACAGACATGATCACACAAGATGAATCTGCTTGATATTTTATCAACTTCTCCCCACTATTCTTTAGGAAATGAACATTGGCAACAAATGAGAATTCAAATGTTGATCTTAGGGTCTAAAGGGTTAAAACAAGATTTTTTTATAAAGGCCTCGCACTTGTCCTCCTCAGGGTTTTTGGAACTTGAAATAGGCTATTACATGTACACCTTGCATGGATCCCAGGGGGGGGTACTCGGGATTTCAAGTAACAGGGATGATCGAAGGATTTTTTTGGGTTTGAAATTTTCGATTCGGGGGCAAGAAAATTTTTTAGCTTGATTTGAAAAATTTTTGGGGGTAGTTTTGATTTTTTTGTACACCTTGGGTAGCTTGATTTGAGTAGGGATTTTTTGGGGGTATTAAAAAGAATTGGTAGTGCCCTGGCTGCGTAGTTCTGCGAGGAAAGTACAAACAAACGTGTTTTGCTGTTGTTTAATAGTTAACCATGGTGTCGCTTTTCATCGCACGTGTTAGGCATGGGATTTTTTGGGGGGTTAAGTTTGGTCCAGGGATTTTTTGGGGTTTTGCTGGAAGCCCTAGGGATTTTTTTGGGTCTTGACTTTTTGCTCCATTCGATCATCCCCGTCACTTGAAATCCCGAGTAGCCCCCCTGGGGTGTGGACAGTAGGGAGTTTAAGATACCAAGTCAGCTACAGTAGCGAAAAAAACTTAAAAAGTGAGCTTGTTATCAATAATTATGATTATTCTATCTTGCTTGATACTTTGTCAGTTGTAGGCTGGAAATAAATTTCTAAAAAACCATACACAAGTTCATTGCTTATTTACATCCTCCTTAAAATCTAAAACTAGGCATTTTCATGCCATAATATTATTGTGCAATGACATTAAAGAAATGCACGAAGCATGCAACATGAAAATGTGATGCTCTTTCAAAGTTTTTGGTTTGCTAATCTAAGCTACTACTTTTGTGATGTTCCCCTCACTGTTGTCATCATGATATCTTAAACTAACTCCCTATTAAGTAAATTAATAACACCAAATTTCAAAGTAAGATTGTCTCAGTTATTATTATTTTTTAAATTTACATGTAACATTTGTAATATTATTAACCTGCAAGAGTGATGATTCAAAAAGATTATGGCTTTCCCATATTCCTAAAACTTTTGTAGTTTTTTGCAAGTTTTCTGCTGTCTCTCCCAGCTGTGCTGAAAAGAACACTGGTACAACAACATCTTCAAGAGCTTTACGTAGTTCCTGAGCCCCCTTTCGCTGACAGTGATGAAGAATATCATTGATCAAGTAAACTATGTGAAGTTTGTGTTGAAACTGCATTCCAGGACCAAGAGCTCTAAAAGACATAAACAGAGAGAAAGTGTGCTTTAGTTGTCGGTAAAAATAGTTAAACCCTTTTAGTCTTAACAAGTGGTTAACATGAAACTTTGAGAAAAATCCTAAAAAATTAATGCATTTTATAGAATACAGACAAATAAAATTAACACCTTAGGATTTCACCCACAGACTCAAAAGTAAGAACTACATACTAAACAAATACTACTATGCAGAGTACTACTTAAAAGGTTTTTTATGTGAATGGTATTAAACACCATAGGATTTCATCCACAGACTCAAAGGATGTAAAATGTTACTACTGTCCCTCCACTATTGACTCTTAGACAAAAAAAAGTTAGGAATTTAATATTACTGCGAACTGCAGGGAACCTTAATTAAAAGCCACAGCACTGGGAAAATGGGGATTTGTTTTATTGGCATCCTATTCACATACATTCTACTAAAATTGGGACAAATATGTATTAATTTGTACAATATTACTTTCCCAACCAAATGACAGTGCTCTGAGAAAGTGCTGCAATACATTTGTACATAACTTCTACTTGAACTGTGATCTCTACCACAGCTGTGATCCCAGTTCAAGTGCTCAGATTTAGGGGTTAAATTCTAATTTTCTGATAGGCATCTCCTTCATTTTCATATGGAAGTAACCTGCAGGGGTAAGTTTCCATGAAAATTTCAAAGTTCATTGTACAAACACTCAAATCAAACAAGATTAATTTGTGAGACTTAAAAGTAAATTGATTTTTGATTGAGTAATAACTTAATGCTTGTTTAACTCAATATGTAGTAAAAATATTATTATTAAATCCAGTACTATTCAAGTAGGTCTTTAGCATCAAGCCAGAACGCTTGATTGTTTGTGAACTAATTTTTACAAACCTTTTCAGCAGGTACTGGGCTATCTGGAAACTGTGGGTAGGAGTCTTGGTATTTGTAAAGATGTAGTTCTTGCCATTCTAACATAAATAAAATTTATTATAATTATTCATTCAAAATATTTCTCCATGTCTGATTGGCTAAAATTCCATGCACAATTCATCGTAACCAACTACTGTCAACCAAATTTGGAAGAATTTTCCAATAATGTGGAAAATGACATCAATTGTGCAGCATAATTGCCAGGAAGCTGAACAACTATTCAAGAAGACCTGAGGACCAGGTTGAAAGCTATTTTAGCAGTGAGTAAAAAATGGTGGAACATTTCACTTGTTTCACGAAGAACAAATAGGCAAATTATTGGCTAAAAACATAGCAAGAACAGCAAGAAGACAACTCAACGGACGACATCTGTTATTTGGAGAATATTTGCAGTACTGAACAACCCTTTGCATCCTAGACTTGCCAATAAACAGGATATTGAACTTAGCATTGATGGAGGTAAGCATGTTTTAGCTTGTTTTCCAACTAGGAATTATTTTGAATAAATAATAAATAATCTCGGAGGGTGTTATTACCCTGATAACACCCTCCTCGAACTCCATAATTCTTCAGATGATACTCAGCCTCATCCAATAATAGTTAATTATCAAATAACAGTATCAACCAGAACATAAAAGAGTCTGATTGAATTCATGACGTATCAAAGCCTTAATGCCTGGTCAACTGCATGACATGTAACAATAATGTATTCCATGAGTGCGCGTTGGATATGAGTTGGCTATAATCATCTCATATCCATCAAGCGTGAGTGGAATAATTGTTTTATTAAAAACGTCCACAAATTATCAAAAATTCATCCTAACTTTATTTGTGAAGACAGCCAACTTTCAGCTTGCTTTAAATTTTAGGCAGACACGTACAGTTACATGTACCATATTTGGAGAGCATGATATAATGGCTCATATACCATGATGGCTAAGCCAATCAGAGCTCTAGAATTGCATCATCCAATGATTCAGTTTTTCTTAACAATCATTATTATATAGCCACAAACAATAAGCACAATAATAATAATAATAATACAGCTTTATCCATTAAATTTCATAGGGCAAGCAACAATAGGTTGCTGAACTGTATCTCATGTGAGACATCTCAAAAAACAGGGTATACATGTACCACAAAACCATAGTTTCAAGCTCACCGATATTGACTCCTTGGTACATGACTCCATAATCTTGTGAAGAAGATTTTCAAGCTCTGTTAAATCCAACTCAGTTTCTTGTTGGACAGGAGTTGGGGCAGGGGGAGCTTGGTACATGGGAACAGTGGCCGCTGCGGCAGCAGCAGCTGCTGCCGCTGCTGCTTGGGCCTGCTGCTGAAGTACCTGCATCTAAGATGAAAACAAAGGGAAGTGCAGTCAAACTGAGAATGATCCTGAGAGATAAAGATGGGTGGGTGTTTCACAAGTTACATGTAGAAGGTGGTTCTAGTTTCAGGGTTCTCAATAGATTTTTAAGTTGGAGGTGATCACTGATAAAGTAGGAGGCTCTTCAGCAAAGCCAGAGGTGTCAAAACAAAGCAAAGAAAAGCGACTTAAACACAAAGTAAGCGGCTATAAATCCGAAAGTAAGCGGCGATCAATCGCCGGGTGCCGCCTTCTATTGAGAGCCCTGAGTTTTTGTGTCTATGTCCAAAATCCTATGGTGTTTGTTGCACTTTTGCCTGTTCCATTTAATTTTTCAGTCTTCTACACCCATAAATTTTGATTTGGGACATACTTGGATGGGAAAAGGTAATTACTGCAACAATATTAATGTTATTTTTGTTTCCCTTTTTTTACCTGTTGTTGTGCCTGTTGCTGAGCTTGTTGCCATGGTGCTGAGTTGATTGACTGTTGCACAATAGCCTGCTGAACAAGATGAGCTTGAGGATTTGTGCCGTACTGGGCAGCTGCTTGCTGAACAAGCTGCTGTTGGTTCTGCAGATGTTGTTGAGTTTGCTGTTGAGCTAATAATAAAAACAATTAATAGTCAAACTCCTCTGTTATCATTTGAGGTACAAATAGGAAATTAGGAGGGTTTATGGAGCATCAAATTTCCAAACTAACTCGATGTAATTCACATTATTTTACTTTGCATAGTCTGTGAATGAAATAATAAAACTGTAACCATTAAAGAGTAGTGAACTGTTTATCATGCAGTCTTAAGTGGATCTAAGCTTTTACCCTCAGGGCAAAAAAGGTTGGTACACACAAGGTGACAAGTCTCCGTAACACATTGCGGTGACACATTATAGTAACGGGTTGCTTTAAGTGTACCAGAGAATTTTTGTGAAAATCCATATCCCCACAACACTGTTTTGTTATTGCAATAAGCTGCATAAACTCAAACTGTTTTGATTCTGTTTAAGGTCTCGGTAAATGAAAATTTTAGTACATTGCTCGATTTTGTTTTTTTTGGATTTTTGGCATGAGTGGGTCCTAAATTTTAATTTGGCAGAAAAAGAAAATCAGAAAGTGCTTTTTAACCCTTCTAAAATGAGCCTTTTCTGAGCTAACCAGCCAAGCGTGGACTTCGCGCTAAATCTTTAGAGCTGATTTCTCTCACTCTATTTTAGACGCAAAAATCAAAATTCTCTGACCTCCAGTCGGGACAGGTTTTAAGCTATCGCTTTGAAACTTTCAGATATGATGGATAATGATATAGACTCAAAAAGGGTGTGAGGAATTTTCCGATTTCCCTTTGTAACTCATTTTATGTCAGTTTCTTTGCGTAAATCGCGCTCGAGATTCGACTTTTTAGTTTGAAATGCAATAATTCCGCTAACATGAGACATCTGCAAATTTCCTCACACCCTTTTTTTAGTCTTTTATCTGTCAATCAGATGCAATAAAAAGGAAGTGAATATTTAACAACGCGAAAGGGCTGGAGCTTCAGCAGTAAACTCGATACCTCTGAGTTCGAGAACAAAAAACTTAAGCACCTTTTGAAATTCGATGAAATAAAATCTTTTATAAGGTAATTTAGTCTTTTAGCTTTAATTTGATATGTAACTTGCCTTTGTAGCGAAAATACTCGCGCGACTAGAATTTTTTTCTGTGGGCACCTCGTTTTCCTTTACCGAGACCTTAACTTGTCACGGCGACAAAATCTGCTCACGGAGACCATGATTTTTGTAAAAGTCTACAGTAGAAATGAAGTATTTTTCTGTTTGTGACAACATATTGCCATGCCATGTTGCTGGGACTTGTTGCCTGAGCTGTTCACAAGGAGTGGTTTATCACCATGATGTCTAGCTGTGACTTGGTGCCAAGGGTATTCCAACCTCAAGTGTCAACTTTAATGAAAACTACCTGTAGTGTTTTACCAATTTACTGTTTGATTTTTATAAAAAGTGTTCTTGCAAAATGTATTGCAATTAGCAAATTGAAAGTGGATGGTATGTTAAACTTACCAATTTCAAATGAAACTTTCCATCTGTAGTAGTTGTAGTACTCTCCACCAAACAAAAACGCAAACTTTAGGTTCCCTTTCTGCTTCTCTTTAGTCATCTCTTCAAATTTACTGCCATTTCTGGCCACAAAATTTGCAAGTTTGTCTATAATGTTCTTCTGCTCTTGATCTAGGTGTAAATAATACTTTTAGTCAGTTAATTCTACTGGTAAAGAACGTTCACAGTTGTGGCTCTCATTAAGTTAGAGTTCGCATGGGAATTTGATGTCAAATAACTTTGATATAAACTGATTTCTAAACCACCCAAAGCCAGAAAGCTTTTGATATCCAGTAAAAGATTTTACTTAGCAAATTTGAGGGATGTAATAATTGCAGTAGAAAGCTGACAGTCCTGTTCTCATTTTTCAAACACTTGTCTGTAAGTTTTTTTCACACAAACTTGATAGAAATGTATGAAGATACAATCATAAACTTTCCAATGAATTTACATGCATATAGTTCAAATTTGTCTGGTTAACTTTTTAGCCAGCTGCCTATAGCTTTCAAGCTGAGAAATCTTCAATTACACAACACGTCATACAACTTCTGCTCTGAATATTTAATCACCTGACTGATGATTGTTTGAATCTTGATTAGTACTATTCTGATTTAGCCTGAGAAAAGATTTTGGCTATGCACATATCTACTATCTATCGGGTAGCCTTGGCCTAGTTAACAAGAGAAATTTACTTGCCTGAACTGCAAACAAAGTCAGTTTATTAATCCAGTATCCTGATCAAATAAACACAACTCTGATCTCTATCTAATTTAATTTGCTAGAGACTTTCCAGCATTTTGATGGGTTCTCCAGCTAATGTATAAATCATAATAGATTACCTCAAAATGCTTATGCACACTGTTTGGTTACCAGATATTAGATTTTTACACCCATATACATGGGTTTCAATAAGCACTGACGACCAACGAGTTTCATCAGTTATTTTGCTCAGAGAAGTTGGCTACTTTTCTCCCTGAAAGGAGAAGCAACTAGCGCTTACAATGTCGAAAACAAAAAACATGAAATGAAAATGTAAAGGCCCACTGGTTTTGAGTTATGCTTTAGTTATCCAAACACTGTACATTGTATTTCAGTCAATTCTTCACACGTTTCTTTGGAGGTTTACACAGAATTTGTTCTCGTTCTAATGTACATTTGTTCATTGCTTGTAATTTGTGAGGCTGATAAATCGGAACCTGAACTGAAAGCTACATTTTCTTGAATGAAAAACACTCTTTTGTACTCAATTTAGTCCCCAGAACGCTGGAAATCGCATTTTAGGGCTTTTCGATTTTAAAAATTTTCTGAGAGAGCATGCGGGACGGGCACGGAATTGACGGCCCCTTGTTGATACAGTCGGGTATTTCATCCAAACCTTCTGGCTACTTCAATTATTATTGAAACCCCTGCATATACGAGGAAGCTTCTGTGAGGGCACTTACAAAGTATCAGCTTTCCTGCAGCATGGTCTACCCCAAAAATCTCAACCTCTGATGATAAAGTTTTACTCAACTGCATATTCCTACTGTATTATTCTCTTATCACATTATAACAACAGATCAAGCTACGTTGATTACCTTCAGGTGCAGGGAAGGGTGGATTCTGCGAAACGCTAGCCATCTTGCAGAGTTAAGCACCCCACGGCAACTTGAAATGAATGATTCAAAACACGGCGTTAAATTGTTGAAACACACTGATATTCCACGCCGAAGTACCTTCTGTATGAATCCTCAAAATCAACGCAAATCAATTCGATAAATGCAGACAAAATGCCTTTAAAAAGACATATACTTTTAGCCTTCAGTTTCTCCCGAAAGAAGCCGCCATGATTAAACAAATTCGTCCCAGTCTTCTGTCTGGGGAAATGCGCAAGCGCAAAAGCTTCTTGCGCAATGCTCGTCCCCAGGGTCTTCTCGCTTTTCAGTGTGAAAAAGGGATAAGGAGTACATTCAGATCACAGGGGAATATCGTCGCGAAAAAGTTTAAAAAATGGCTCTGAATCGTGCTCTTTGGCGTTTTGTGACTCCAGGAAAAAATACTCTTCTTCTCTGCCGTGCTCAGAGTTCGGCGAATGCAGCGATCGGTATCCTTTTCTACGAAACACTTTTCAATTTTTCAGCAGCCATGAGATTTCTGCTGCTGTTTTTCAATTGTTGTTGACATGAATTTGCTAACACCAATGTAAAAAACGCCTTAATGTTTATGCCTCGTTCTTTAACGTGTTACGACAAGTGGCCCGGTCGGTTGTTATGAAATCGCTCTAAGTGGGTGATCCGCCCGCCAAATCGCGATCGAAATTTTGTAGTTTCGACAAATTTTAGTAACGTCATCTTTGTGGAACTAGACCTCGGTTATCTTTGCTTGTTTCTGACATATCACTATCACACTCGGCAAGTGTGCTGGTTTTGAGGCGCTCTTTCCAGCGATGTCGATGAATATTCGCTGACAAGCCGTTGTCAAAAGTTACTACAAAACATTGGATGAGTTGATTCGTATAAAGTTACCGGTAAGCTTATGCAATACTTGAGACGAAATTAGCACATTGCTAAACAATCTGAAGAGACGTTGAGCATTTGGGTTTCTTAACTTTTCAAATAATAGCACAAAAATCGCAAGATAAAAAAGATAAATTTGGTAAGTATGCGAGCCATTAATTTAACTACGTTAATTGAGAATAATTATTGTAAAGAGTTGTGGAGGCGTGAAGGGGGCGTTGTCATGTTCAAGACCACCATCAGCCAACAGCAGTTGTTAAAGATAATCAAAATGTTTCAAGGAAATACCCCATAAAAACAGCGTAAATCCAAACTTGCACAGAAAATATCAGGACTTTTTAACAGTCCAGGTGTTCTTTGTGAGAAAGCGTAAGACTACAATAATTGGTGGAAAACAAAGAAATACGTCGCAGTCTAATTTACACTAAGATTAAATTTGACGTTGTCATTTTTACATTTACTCAGTAAAGTTCAACTGGCAAGATCCACTGAACTTGGAGAGTTGTCTCACAGAAGAAGAGGTGATAGTTAGGGATCAGTTTAGAGATTACTGCCAGGAAAAGCTTATGCCTCGGATACTGATGGCAAATAGACATGAAAGTAAGTGTAAGCCTTATGATTGAAACAACTATAAAAGGCCCATAAATGCAACAGTCAAAAATATCGAGCCGCGTGAGAACGCACGAGTGAGCGGTGAAGCCGCGAGGGGCTAACAAAAGGAGAGCTTGCAACGATCTCTCATAAATTTTCATTTGTACTTCGCCCAGATGAAGAGAAATACCATCGGCTAAAAAATGACGTTCCAGAAATTAAAATTGATTGATAACAAGCCTAGGTGGCCTGCCCTAAAATTTTCGAGCTCTCCCTTTCTACTCCCCACCCCTCACAGTCGCGTCTCCTCTCGCATGTCTCTCACGCTTGTATTTTTCACGATATCCCCCAAATGGAGAGCTTGCTTGAAGGCTAAAAATATCATTGAATGAAGTATGGCAGCATGCAGTTATACCTCACTTTACAAACGACTTATTAACAGACTCACGGAAAACTGACAAAAATAGCATTACTGGACGGTCAATTTGACCAACAAACAAAATAACCCTTAAGCCATTCAAAAAGGAGGTCTTGACTGCTTAAGTATCTTGAACTCTACAAAAAATGGCCAAGCATGCATTGTTTGCAAAAAATTTCAGAGGTGAATTAGTCTGAAAATAAAATCAGTTGAACTTGAAAGAGGATAACATAGCTTACTTTCATTCTGCAGTCATGTTACCATTAATTTCGTCAATCCAATCAATAGAAGCGTATTTGTTAACAAATTTCATGTCACTCTCTTGTTTAGCATTTGATAAAGATATTATGAAAGAAATGGGATCACTTGGAGTTCTTGGTTGCACAATTCAAGGTCAGTGTTTTGTTTAAAACCTTTAGTGATGTCAAACATTGATTCTCCATTTTTCATCAACTCTTGCAAACTTAATTTTGTGTGAGGTAAAGTATTGGCACCATGCATGGCGTAAATAAATTTTCCGGATTTTCCCAGTTAAGCAAAAAACTGAAGTCAAGACTTAAAGAAAAGATAATTTTCTTGTTACTGATCTCAGCTTCTGTTTTCTTCTAGGTTATGGATGTGCAGGAGTGTCGTCTGTAGCTTATGGTCTCATCGCAAGAGAAGTTGAAAGGTTTTGACAATATTGTTTCCCTGTCTTGCATGTATACATGGTGTAATAATTCTGTGCCCTATTTGCCTTCACACACTACAACAACAATAGTTTAAATTTACTAAATTTTTGAATAATTTCTTTATCTTTTACCTGCAGGGTGGACAGTAGCTATAGATCAGCAATGAGCGTCCAGTCATCTCTGGTAATGCACCCTATTAATGCTTATGGAACAGAGGAACAGAAACAGAAATATCTCCCAAAGCTAGGTAAGACTTCATTTTTTCACCAAGGGCTTCTAAAAAACTCCATAACCCTCCCCATGCCTCCCCCAACAGGACTTCCCAAAGTGACCCAACCCCAGCCCCTTCCACAATTTTCTTGGCCCTGTCAAGTCACAATATTAAAAAATGACAGCCTCCTAACTAGGTGATGATTACATAGGGGAAAATTTGGACTTTCATTTGCAATTGTTGTAATAAATTGTTGATAAGCAATTTTGTACACTCTGACAAACTAGAAGCAGAAAAGGCCTTCACCCTAAGGGGGATTATTGGGTTTTATTTCGGGAGATAAAAGATGTTTGATTTCTCTTGCTGATTGTCAACAGCACGAGGTGAGCTGATTGGTTGTTTTGGTCTGACTGAACCAAATCACGGCAGTGATCCCGGGGGCATGGAAACGAGAGCAAAACATAATCCTGCCGGGAACAGTTACATCCTTAATGGATCAAAGTGCTGGTGAGAAACATTTTCTGGAGGACCCAGTCAAACTATTTCTGTGTGTACTTGTGTGTGTTTATCTAGTAATGACCATTACTTCTGGGTGAAATTAAATTTAGGAGTTGTCCAGGCCCCAAGAATTAGATAGCTTTAAAGCCTATACACCGAATAAATTACTCAGTCTCCAGTAGATAAGTATTAGGAAAACCAATTGCGTTATCCGGAGAATAGTGATTAATCCGGTGGATATAGCTTTATCCACCTGGGGCCAGGTCCCTGTCCCCTGGAAATTTCCTCCGAGGCGAATCCAGGCACAAAGGTACGGCCATAATGGGAATCTGTTTGAGGTAGTAATGGTCTGAAGCTGTGGCTGAAATTTTTGCTGGCTGTGTTGGGTGAACTGACTTCTAGGAGAGGCATGTTACAGCACATAAAAATTATAATGTATAGTCTGCAGCCAACTTGTCTACAGGGTCTGCAAGACTCTGAAATACTCTTTGGTTTATCTTTAGCAAACAGTCTCTATAACTCAAATTGGATTGGATTTATCAGTCCAAAAACTTGAAGTACATTTACACTGTAGTTTCTGGGTTATAAGCCTGCGAGCAAGGTCTCTGGGTTTCCCTGGTGGCGGGGCGAGCAACCTCGCAGGCTACTGGCCTATTACAAGTGATACAATCTTTGTAAAGAATAAAGAATACAGGAGATTAAAGAGATAATTTTTTTTTGTGATAGGTACATTATTCATTTCAGTCTTTCTGATGTTCCATTTTGTCATAGGATTACAAACTCACCAATAGCTGATGTGTTCGTGGTTTGGGCAAAATGTGAAGATGGAAAAATTAGGGGATTTATCTTGGAAAAGGTTCGTTCCTCCAAAAAATGCTTGCCATCTCTATGTGATGTGTCAGCTTACATACTTTAGATAAACGCTTCACGTGTAAGGCGCCAAACAGCAAGCACTTGATTCAAGTTGAGAAATTCTCAGAATAGAAATTGAGCAGATAGAAAAAGCTCAAAACAAAATAATTTTATGGATGAAACTGGCATGAATTTACTGATTTCCTTGTAGTTATAATGAACAGTAAACGACAAGTATTAAGGGAAAACTTGGTCACATGATACAAATTCTGATTTGCCATAAAACATGACTCTAATAATTAAATCTCTCTAATGTGTTAATCATTTCTCACGAGAGATAATTTGTATTCATGTACGTGGTGTAGATGTTGTGGTTCAATTTTATCCTTGGTTAAAATCTTCTTTTCTTTTGTTTTTGGGATATGGTAATGCGTACTTAAGAGTTTAAAAGAAAAGAAAAGAAAATTTACACTTAGGATAAAAATGAATGACAACATAGACGTAGAGGCATGGAGTATTTAGCAGTGTTGAAGTTTTTTAAAACTTAAAAGTCTGGGGGCAATCCAGCATTGTCCTTCTAATCCCACTTTTCTTGGTTTTAACTCAGGGAATGAAGGGACTTTCAGCTCCTAAAATTGAAGGAAAGTTTTCTTTAAGAGCATCTGTTACAGGCGAGATTTTCATGGAGGATGTTGAGGTGCCTGAAGAAAACCTGCTACCAAATGTTGAAGGACTGGAGGTGAAGTGATAGGTTTTTCACCACTTTCTCATAATTTTATCTTTCTTGTAGCCTTTACTATGATGGGAGGAATCTGTAAGAAACTATTAAAATACACAAATGTATTGAGAGAAGTGTATTGCCCCTGTGTGAGCACATCCAAGACAGTCTTGGATTCCAGATTCCAGATTTCAGGTACTGGATTTTGGATTCCAAAGCCCAGGATTCCAGGTTCCACATACTAAAATTCCCCGGAGCGCGGAATGCAGATTACCTTACATGGTTTGAAGTGTATTTTTCTCGGGTGATCACATCATTAAATTATACATTGTTTTTTGGGGGGAAGGGAAGGGAGGGTAAAAATTATTGCCACTTCTTAATTTTCGTGTAATCCTCCAAAAATACCCAAACTAACTTAATTATATATTGTTTTTTTTGTTTTTAATTATTTGCTAAGCAGGGTCCATTTGGTTGCCTAAACAATGCTCGTTATGGTATATCCTGGGGAGTTCTTGGAGCTGCAGAGTTTTGTCTGGCTACAGCACGACAATACACTTTAGACAGGTAAGCAAGAGGAGAAGAAAGTCTAACTGTTATAGTGCTTAGTGCTCCCTTACATGTACTTTGCTGTCCTCGATTTTCATGGCACTCTTCTCCAAACACTACTTCGTTAGAAAACAGCATTGAGTCTGAAATGTCTCAGACACATGATCAATATCCATAGTGATCCATAGTCTGTTAACAAAATAGTGGCAGTATCTAAAGTAACACTTTATATATTGCCACCATTTTGTAAGGATCCGGTTTGATGTTTAGTATTGTTTTGTGTTTTTTAATGATTAATTTCTCTTTTACTTAACCATCATTTTTTAAGACATCAGTTCAAGAGACCTCTTGCAGCAAATCAGCTCATGCAGAAAAAAATGGCAGACATGACAACTGAGGTTAGTTTTATGGTCGGCGCTTTTTCTAATTTGCCACTTTTTAAAGAGTTAAATCATATATATATCTAACACTTTATTTCTTAGATTGGTATTGGGCTTCAAAGCTGCCTTCATGTTGGACGACTCAAAGATCAAGGAACGTAAGTAAACCTCTACCTTTTAAGCTTCATTTTTAATTTTAAATTTATAGACGACTAAAATTTAAGTGTTATGTTACCCTGGTTCTAGGGATTTAATTTGTTTATCCTTAAACGATTTGAAATCACACCTCAGTTTTTCAAAGCCTTTAATTAAAGAGATAGAACCTTTGGAACAGAGGTAATAATCCGTCTGCATGAAACTTCGCAAGGGGTATTCTCTTTTCGTGAAATCCAACTAGTGGTCTATTATCAATGCTGCGTTCTGATTGGTTGAGCTACTACTAGGCTATATGTTATAGCCCACTAGTAGCGAAAAGTGTGGGCTTTTTGGCGCACAAACAGATTAAAGTCTAACTTTAACTAGCTTAACTTTTTTTATTCTCGATATTTTTGACCAACTAGTTGGATTTACTAAAACAATAATTCTCGCCCTTATGGCCTCTGAGTCAATAGCCCATATGGCCTTCGGCCTCGTGGGCTATTGATTCAGAGCCCATTCGGGCTCGAGGAATAATTGTTAAATATATGTCATATGAGCATGTGCCACACCAAAAGGTATGGTTTTGTGGCGTTTTGGAAAATGTCGCGTTTTAAATGACCTCTTCGATATCTGTAAACGGGTTTGGAAAGTGACATTTTTGGGTGTGAAATAGGGTCAGGATTTAGAGAGCTGGGCGCCAAGTGTGCCCAGCCCCCGCTCCCGGGGATGAAACTGGCAAATTACAGAAGTACAGTAGCGGGCGTGGAAATATTTTCTGTGGAAACTGTCAACGCTCTCACAGTTACAAAGTTCTGGCGATTTGGTTTTTTTGAATTCACAGCGGTAAGAGCGGTCTTAAAATGGGTTCTGTTATATCACAGTACATGCAGTATACATACTCAAAGCAAATAACCGCACAGGAAGTCACCCACAGGCCACTGGGAAAATGTGCAGGAAAAAGTACGCAGAAGCCTGGAAAGTGATAAAAATCACCTTCAAAAACGCATAGGGGAAAGTCACTTTAAGAAAACAAGGACATGAGAGAATCAAGGCTGTTCTGGGGTTAACTGGTTTGGCTGAAACATGGCGCGCGACTTTTGTGCGCAAATCGTTATTTAACAGTACTGTTGATTTTTTCGTAGATGGTGCCCGGAAATGATATCTATGATCAAGCGCAATTCATGTGGAAAAGCACTTGACATAGCCAGGATGGCCAGGGACATGTTAGGCGGTGAGTTTAATTGTTCTTATCAACGTTTCGTAACCTTACTGAGAAACGAGTGTTTATGATTACTTAATTGGACCTTTCTCTCTCATTTTATGGCACCTACAGGAAATGGCATCTCGGATGAGTACCACGTGATACGTCACGTGATGAACTTGGAATCCGTGAACACGTATGAAGGTAACTTCAAATTTAAAACTTACAAACGAGGCAGCTGATTTTTTGCCGTCCGTTGCGTTCATTTCTTTATTATTCTAGTTGGTTGAGAGAATACAGCCTCGAGCAAACTCGTTTCCAGGGTACTCTCTGTTGATGAAGAGAGGACCCTGGGAACGAGGCTGAGGCCCGATGTCGCACTTACAGTAAAGGGAGCTTTAGCAACCACGACGGCGCGCGATGCCTATTTCCCTTTCGTAAACTGTCTTTGCCATTTTTACCAGTTGATGGCCACCATTTGTAACCAAGCCCTAAGTCATGATAGATGTAATATATTTCCTGGTTTAAGTTTCAATATGGCAAATAATACGTTTGTGAATAGTCTTTCAAAGAACAACGTTGAAGCCCAAATTGAATTTACTTTTAAAGTTACGGAAAAGGCTAGCTAGGGTCATTTGTTACTGATGTATCAGTTAAGAAAGACAGTTTGCTAGTTTATATTTTTAATTTTTCCGGAATTTTGACGGCTCGGTGTGGTAGTGTAGTGGTAAGGGAGAGAGGTTAGGGTACGAAGGGTCCGAGTTCGACCGTGAGTTGCAATTTTCTCTCTTTTTAATAGGAACACTCTCAATAACAGGTCAAAAATTTTCTACGTCCTGAAAATGGCAGCGACCATTAATGAAAGGGGAAACTGCGACGGTGACGATAGAGAAAACTTCACGAATAAAATGAGTTCACGTGTTGTTTCAAACTTGATCGCGATTGTTTAAACTCGCTCACTGACTTAAATTCGAGGTCCATGCAGGAGATTCTTTTCACCAACAATTTTTTTTTTAATTTTCCCTTCGTAGCCTGGACATTAATTGTCAATGTAATGTTCAGCCTCAGGTTCAATCTCGTAAATGATCATCATTTGTTGGACTTTGGAAAAGCTTTTAAGTTGCTCTTTATTGTCTGCTTGTAAATGTTTCCGTCATTTTTTCTTCTCCAGGTACACACGATATCCATGCGCTGATTCTTGGAAGAGCTATAACTGGAATACAAGCTTTCACAAGATGATTAATTAGCAAGAAAACAGAAAACAGCAGCATTCAGACTGCAATTATACCAAAGCAACCACTAACATATAATCTCATTTTGCCCGCCGTGTCTCATGATATCGGTTGTATGACGAGTTAGCGAATTCCGCTGTAAAAATTTCTGGAAGAACTAAGTATGTTTTCTCGAGAGTTGCTGGAGAATTTCTGGTAAATTTCGGGAGAGGAATCTTCATCGATCTAGGCGACCAGTTAATTCCTTCCGGGTTGTAAGTAGGTACATCAGTGCCACATGGTCATCCTGTTTTCAAGACAGACGGCGAGCGTAAGCCAACGCGACAAAGATGGCGAAATCCTTAGTAAAAATGCGAATGCTTGTTCTTTTAATATCATCGTTATTATTCCAACTTTCTCAGGTCGTTATCCTTTGGGTGTGGGAATTGTTCATGGTTTTCGATTCTCCTGTTTTGCTCTGGTGATCGCCACATCTTCAATAGCAGCGAACTATCAAACTCATAGAGAATCGAGTTTTAAAAGTGTCGAAAAGTTTTAAGAGTTGTGCGTATGAATATTATTGGAACGTAGCAATAAGTTATAATCAGGAGTATCTTTTTTACATTGACTTTATGCCTTGTGCTCATTAAAAGTAGGAAAAGTTAACATGAAAGACTTATTGTTGTTCGTCAATGCGTGTTAGCAGACAATATTTAAAAAAATGGTAATAGAGCTCTCTCCTTCGCGCGCAGAGGCTCCCAATCAAAATAACAAGCGCGGGGGACGATGTGATGATGCCTGTTCTCTCTCCCCTTCCCAGCGACCCCCGCGCGCTTCTCCCTTTTCTTTCTCCCCAGCCTCGCTACGACTCAAAGAAGCCTTTGCGGAGGAGAGGGGTAATAGAGCCTGATCCGTCCTGGTAGGGGTCCCTGTGCTCCTGTGTCCAGCTTTTATACAGACAAAGGGCGAGTTATGAAGAAGACTGGGTACGACTCCGGTTGCGTATGTTAGGTCGAATTGCAAGGTGGGATTATCTTACAGACGCTATAACTTCATTCATTCGCCGATACTAAGTTAGGCAGGAATCTGGGTAAAGTTTCCCAATATACCTTAAAAGTTAATTTCTAAATGTGCGTTTTGCTTGCTACAGTTTATCTATAACTATACAGGTCAGACTTTTTGAAAACTAAAATAAAAGTGAGAGTGCTTGAATCGCGACATTTGATGTCCTTTTTTCATATCTGCCTGTTAACCCATCCACCCCGTAAGCGTCCGTGCCGGGACCCTCGCCACGCCTCTTCCATCACTTGTGACGTAATCAGGTTTGACGGTCAAGGACAACTTTGTCCGCTAACTTGCACTGTGCAGCGTGAAGAGATCTTTCAATCCATATCAGATTGAAGTCGACTTAGTCAAAGATTCAGTCTGAATAGCATAGTGCACACAGGGAACACAGAGATCAGAACACACGTAGCAGTCGATTAGTAATCGGCTGCTGACAGGCGCTTTTATTTCACTTGATTAAAGCGCTGGAAAATTATCTCGCTGTTATCTGACCGTCACCCCAAAGAACATGACTCACTTTAAAAAAGAGGATAAAGATAATTCTTCTTGTTTTGCGATTTATGACTTTCCGAAAGTGATTATTTTTTAAACACAAATGATTCAAAAGACGGATTTTTTATTTTTTTCAACTCGTATTCAGCTTTTGGGAGGATCGTCAATATTTTTACAGAGTAACGAATTCAAAGATCCTCAGAGAATATCTACAAAAAGGTTAAAAAATCCTCACTTAAAATACTAATCACATTTCTATACAATTTCTCCTACTCTGAAAGAAAAAAATGTACAAACTGATATGTAATAAAATACCCTACTTTCTTTCAGTGCTTAGAGTGCAAAAATTCATACAGCTTTAGCATTATTCTTTCAAGACAATAAAAAGTTAACACACTTAGTCAAAAAAGTGAAATAAAAATAATTGATCCGCACCTAAACCAACGACAGAACATGGTATTCAGCTAAATTTATACAGATTTCACACTTTTTCCCTTAGTCTGAGTTATGGCGAGAAATAGAGAGCTTTAGAGTAGCGTTTAGGACAAACAGCAAACGCGAGTTTGAACCACGTGACCAAGACTTTACTTGCCGTGTTGCCGTTCACTGCTCATGATAACTACATGGAAATCAGTCGATTCACGCCAGTTGTATCCATAAGTATTATTTTGAGCTGCTTTTAACCGCTCATTTCTTTTGAGAATTTCTCAACATGAATCTCACGTTTGCCGTTTGCCGTTTGCCGTAAACGTCACTCTAAATCTCTCTAATTTGTCATTCATATGTTGACGAAATCCTGTGGTCTGACCATTCAAAAGAAACCTCTTCATCGGTACTTTCACTTTCATGTGATACCATTTATCTTATATAGAAAGTGGTTATAACCTTTGGGTCTTTAGATGAAATCCTATAGTGTTGCCATTCTAATGAAACCACAACTTTTGCGTATAACTATTTATATCCTAAAATTTTACAAAAAGAAGTTTCGAATTTTATTGACATTTTTACTTTGGTCACTATTGGGGTTGAGCAAAGTCGTCAAAAAATTTCTATCTCACACGCGTAATTTCAAAAGTAATGAACACTAGTTTCATATCAAGAGGTTTGTAAAAACGATTGACGAATTTACGTCTCTATTTTCTGCAATAACTGAACCGTACAGTGGCCAGTGAAAGGTACGTATTTTGTTATGGGGACTTGAATGTTTCCTGATGTTTGACCCCATCAAGGATGGGGTTGTGTTTTACTACCGTATCCTTAATTAAATGAGAAATGCAAATTTTAAAAAATATACAAATATGAAATTTATAAATTTGACTGGAGAGTGGCAGAAACCAAATCTAGGTCCGGGGGGGTTATTCCTGGGAATTCTTGGTGGGGGTATGCCGCCCGGTTCAAATCCTTACCCTATTTCAGACTAAAAAATGTCATTTTCCACACCCGTTTTCAGACCAGACCTCTACAATCCATACCCGTTTTCAAACCTGGCCTAGGTGCATTTTGGGGGGCCGGGATGTTTACATGGAGGTGGGGGACCCCAGGTAGGTGAGGTAACCCGCGGCGGGCCACCCCACCTATCACGTAAACGTGATCAAATTAAAATGAGAGATTATATGGACAGGCGGGTTACCTCACTTACCTGGGGTCCCCCGCCTCCATGTAAACAGGCCCTTAGGGGGTCGAAGAGTCGAGACTGTACAGTACCTACTCTTTACGATATTTGTCGTTGTCGGACTGCATAAAACAATGTGTACAATACAGTTTCTCCCTAAATTTCATCTTCTCTGTCTTTGGTGACTGAATTTGAAAATTGCGATTTCGATGACGCAGCTCTCCGTCTCGCTAAACCAGACTTGGAAGGAGGAGACAGTCCAAACATTCGTGGCTTGATGTTTTTCTGAAACTCGTCATTGTTATCATCATCAATGGCCGTTGCTTCGGAATACAGACGATTCATGGCCACAGCCTCGGCGGCAAACTCTTGCAGTTCAAGGGTATTCATATTCCTACAACAACCAAGAACAAATTTCAACTTTCTACTTGTAAGAACACTTTGCCTCAATTTCGCCCGCGGCCTTTGATAAACTCGTTGTGTCTGGGGCGCTAAATATTCAGTCAAAGCCCCCAGTTTCTTAGCCTGTTCCAAGCGTTCAGATAGTGGAGAGCGGTGCGAAGTAAAGAAAGCGATGAAAAGTAGAGGAGAGACTTTTATTTTATTTTATTTTTTCGCGTTCCTTTTTACTTTGCACTGCTCCCCACTATCTGAACGCCTGGAACAGGCTACCAGTTTATGGATTAGGCGGATTAAGCAAAGACAAAAGAGACCTTTAGATTTTAAGACGAGGACGACTGCGAGAACGAAATATTCTCAATACGAAGTAGTGCGCGCGTACACCAGCTTCAATTTTGGCGGGAAAACGTGATAGCTGTCGTCAATCTACTACGGATTTTAGCGAGAAGTCGTAGTGGCGGAAGCAAGTTTATATGTTAAAGGTTTTATCATTTTGCGATCGGAAGGGGGCTTAACCTCCTTCAACATAAATAACCGTGTTAACTTTTCTGGGGAACAAAAGCAAAATGAAACTTTGTCTTTTTGTTGTTGTTGTTGTTGTTGTTGTTGTTGTTTTTTTGAGAATATGAGGGAAATACTCAAAAATCTTCCTCCAAGTTGTCTTTGTTCACCCTGATCCTAATTAAGCGGAGAAGGTGGTTCAAACTTTCGAGTTAGCTCCGCGCGTCTAACAGGGAACGGAAACAACTTCTACGCAGGCTACTCTTGAGTCTAAGGATGAAACCAAGCTCTCACACATAATTTCGCGGTTAGTTCATCAGCACTACTTTTCTATTTTTAAACGGGATAACAACCAGAGAGCTGAAAGGACGTAAAAGGAAAGACCTGCATACCTGGTTAGTAGGGTAGGGGTGGGAAGAGGTGTGTTGCTCGCCTGTGAAAATACAACAGTGAAAAACAAGTGATGAATATATGAATTTGATATATTTGAACTGCGGGATGAAGAAATAAAGGTAGAGAGGATCATCACAGTTAAATACGCAACTATGTACGTGCGAAAAGAAAGCCTGAAAAAAATTCAGGCTCGCGGGGATTCGAACCATGAGCTCTGTTATATCGGTGCAGCGCTCTAAGCAATTGAGTTAGCAAAGCTAGGGAGTTGGGATGAATTTAATAAAACTTTTACAACTGTAACTTACATTTGTACCTATTGCTTCCACACTCTAAAACAATGGCTACAATGTCAAAAAGGAAGGAAGGAGAAATCGTATAATCACCTCTTGAATCCAAGGATGTTGTAAAATCATTTCAGTTGTGTAACGTTTTGTTGCATCTCGAACTAGTAAGTGAGAAATAAGACTCTTGGCTTCCTGTGAAATGACATCCCATTCCTGAAAGTGGAAATGACAAAGTGATGGCCGCAGCAAATTAATAAACAAATGAGTATGCGAAGGTAATTCTAATTTCTGACAGTACTAGCTTAGCACAGTTAATTTAACCGTCACTCTATTAGCCTGAGAAAACAGCGGACATTTCGAGACGCCATCACTGGTCTGAGAAACGAGCGCAGAAATTATATTCTGCTGATGCGTCACAGCGTCAGTACGCAGATCTGGGCAGTGCTTCTGATTGGTCGTGCCGCGTGGGAAATTTGCTTCAGCAAATCAAAAGCACTACCCAGATCCGGGTAGTGACGCATCATAAGTATGGACTTTCGGCGCTCGTTTCTCAGGTGTCATTTCGCAATGAAAGAAGCGGTGTCATCTCGAAATGTCGGCTGTTTTCTCACGCTACCAGACTGTTCGTTCCACTTGGATGAGCCCCGGTCTTCCGGGCGCAACAAGTAGGGCTTTGAAACACTCATAAAACATGCTGGCTGTGATGTAAGACCTCGTTTCACCATTCAGATGATAGCGTCGTTAGGCGGGGGCGCTTAGCCTGGGACAAGGCTCCCTGATGGTGAAAAAAAAGCTGATAACGGCGCGAGCTAGGGGAACGGAATAGGGGATTGATGGAACTTGGGGTTGAGGGGGAACAAGGGCGGCAGAGCCCCCGCCACCCATTCCCCCTCCCCGCTGGGCTCGCTTCGCTGGCCAATTTTTTTGCGCCTAATTATTTACCTTTCTACCCCAGGGCCCAGTTGTTGGAAAGCCGATTAGCGCTAGCCCACGGTTAAATCCTAATCCAGTTTCTTTTTCCTTTGTTCCAAAGCATTTTCCCGGGTAATTTTCTCTATTCTTTTTTTTGCAATAAGAGGTCACGTGACCAATGCTTCCTTTAAACAATGAGTTGGAATCTTGCTGATGCCAAAAATTGACAGAGCACATAAAAATTATCTTACACCCGAAATTTGAGAGGAAACGCATTTAAGGGAGATATTTTATGGCACTTTGATTTTTCAACAAAGTAGTATGATTTGTATTGGCCGCCATGTTGGAGGGCATACTCTTGCCCTCCAACATGGCGGCCAAAACTACTTTTTGCTTAGATCGTGTTAACGTTTGATAGTTACGCTCAGATTTGCTGTAAACATTCCCACATCAACTTTTCAACACTTTCCTTGAAGTTTAAGTGCAAAATTTGTGTTCAGAAAGAGGTAATTCATAATTTTAAAAATCACAGTTTAGTCACGTGACCAGCTACGCGCTCACTGATTTTAAGAAAATGGTACAGGTTTGAAAAACCAAATCACTATTATTTTGCTAAAAATAGGACCCACTAATCGTTTTTTGAAGAAAAGATCATGTAACTTTCATTTTCGTAAAACGATGTCACATCACCTCTTAGTGCAAATGGCCTATCATCTAATTGTAGGTAAAAAGAACTTAACTGAATTTGCGTCTTATACTTTCATATCTGAATTCAAATTTCACACTAACCCTGGGTTACCTTAACCCAGCTTTGAACAACCCGGCCCAGGAGACTGTCTGTGAAGTGTTACACAATTAGGAACAAACAACCCTTGCACAGGATCTTTGTATTTGTAATGATCAACTATGTACTATTTCGGCATAATTCAAAGAAAATCAGGGGGAGAAATATTAAAACCTGGCGATTTTACCAAAAGAAGAGACTGATAACTTACAATCATTATTAATTATTTTTGCCTCGATTTATTTAATTTACCTTTGATGGGAAATCATACACCCCCTCTTGTATTCTTTTCATTAGCATCTCCTAAATTTGTAAAAAAAACACACCCACACACAAATGAAAATAGAAGCCAGGGACGTAGCAAGCCCATAGACCTACAAATTTTTGATTTACCACTGGTAACACATTACGCGTTGTTGGGGTGAGCTAAAAAGCTTAAGAGTTCAAAGTGTTGGTGAGGTCAGTACGTCATAGTCATGCGTGTAATTTCAGGATATGGGGAAATGAAAGTCAGCCAGGCCTACAACTAGTCGAAAAAAGCTGGCTACACCCCTGGAAGCTATGATGAGATGAACAGAAGATTTCAGAAAAGTTTGTGAGTAAAAGAATGAAATACATTATCTTCTGCGTAGAAGATACTATAACAACTCTCTCACATGATACAACGCGATCCGTTCGTTGAACCAATTAAAATCATTATCAGATGAAGTGTTGACGAGAGTTAGTTTTAGTGCTTTACCCTTATACAACAAGAAGAGCTGATGGCATGGCATCCGAGTGGAATTACAAGAACCAGAATTCAAGTTATCGGGTTAAATTTTAGTGAATTTTTTGTTCAAGGGAAAGGAAGCAAATTTAGTTCAGTTAGTTCGATCCGAGGTCTACTGTAGCTCTAACAGTATATTATTATTCTGACAAAGTTTAATATTCCTCTACTCACCTGACATGATTTACAGTTTTCTCCTTTTTCCCATCCACAATCTGTGCCACACTTGCCGTAAAATGGTGGGTGACCAGACAACATGATATACCTAGACATAAGAATACCCAAGGATACATCATGCGTGCGCGATCTGTTATAAGGGCACTTTCCAAAAGTCAGAACTGACCGGTTAGACTGATCATTTTGAAAATGAAACCTGTATTAAAAGTCTTTTTTCAAAATAAATATATTTTTAAGAAAAAGTTTAAAACTGGAAAATGGTTTGTACAAATGTTTTTTTTTTTTTGTAAATTTTTGGCTGGATTTAAAGGACTTCATCTAAGGAGAAAGGAACTGGCCAATATTGTCTTAATTACTCAGAAACCCAGGAAAGGGGCGCTTTAGGGGAGTTAAGAGGCTTTAAGGTGAAATGATTGCAACCAATAATAATATTAATATATTACTAACAGGATAACTCCTAGACTCCACAAATCACATCTTTTGTCATAAGTTGTAGCCTGCGTCTTAAAAGCATCCACAACTTCAGGTGCCATGTATTCAGCAGACCCAACCTGTAGGAAACGACAAAGTAACGTTGTTAGCTACACTTCACAAAACACACAAAGCAGAAGGAGGCTGGTACTACATAGACTGAACTAACTTACTTTGCAAGACATTAACCACAGACAGCTGTTACATCCTTGTTAAAATTAATAAGTATCTCATAAAGATGATATTACACAGGATGATGCGAAAAGATGTTTCATACAATTTCAATACTGTTGCCATAAGAATCGTCTTGCATATTGTCTTGTGTAACATCACCTAAACAACTAAGCAAGATGAAATGTCTGCTGTGAAATTTCCTGCACACTGTATCAACCCTTTTAGCCCCAATATCCACATACAAATTCTCCAAACTGATCTCTATACATTTCCATAAAGAATGAGTTGAGAGAATTTGATAAAAGATCAAAGCACTTTCTCTTATTAACCTAATCTCTTGACAATGTATGGATATTGCTAAGAGAAAATAGATGTTGGTCACCATCGGGACAAACATCGGGACTAAGCGGGTTTCTAGGTGTTGGACACACACCCATCGACTCTATATCATTCAGTGCTGTCAACAAGGACCGGTAGCCAGCCAAAACCGCCGGCTAGTTAGCCATCCTTAGCTGGCTACTTTCATCTCCTTCTACCATAACTGCTAACAAAAAATAAGCATCATTGAATAAAATTGTAAAGCATCCATTTCGCAGTTTTGAATGACATTGAACCCATATTCTAACAGGTTAGACCTGTGAAACGTTCGAACTGTGCGATGTCTTGGAACACCTGGGACATTTCAATGGCATTGTTCCCAGTCTTTCATGTATTCTGACAAAACAACATGGTGTCCACTGTGGAAAACACCTCTTGAAAACCCCTGGAAAGGCCATTTTCCGAGACTCTAATTTTCGAAATGTCCCTAGATACCTCGGGCCTCAGGAACTTTGATGCGAGTTCCAAAGCCACCGACTATTCATTATCAGTCTGCTACTTAAAAACTTTTTGACAGCCCTGATTTATTACATATCCCATAAAGGACAAGAGTCTATTATAAGTGTCATGTTATAACAATAGTTTAATGTGTCACAAAGAAAATAGGATAGTCAAAACCATGTTTATTGAAACCGCACTTTATTTTCTGCAAAATGGATAATTACCGGAGTCTGTAACTCTGGTGTTGTTACTGCGGCACTCAGACCATCAAGTCCACTTGCCAAGTCAAAATCACAGATCTTGACTGGTGTTATCTGAAACACAACCACAGCTATGGTGAAAAAGAGAGGTTATACTGATTCAGGGTCGGCCAGGATAAATCCATAGGTTCTTAAAACAACAACATAATAACATTTTAGACAGACAGGAAACTAACTTATTAAAGGGCAGTGTGACACCAAGGTTTATTGCTACTTGACAAACCAAAGAAAGCATAATTTGTATTGGCAGCTGTACACAGGCTATGTTTCAGTCAACAGATATACAGTGAACTCTTTCTTAATGGACACCTTTATAAGACAGACACCTGTCTAAGATGGACACATCTCTAGGATGGACACCTGGTGTTGGTCCCTTCCATTTTTCAGTCATTTTACTGTAACTATACTCTCTATAAGATGGACACCTCTCACATGGCACCCAAAAGTTTTTTCATAATGCTAGTGAATTTTTTCATAATGCTAGTGTTATTTACACAAAAACTCAAGAGAATGCTGTATTACTAGTCTACCGTTCTCTACCTGGTTTTCACAGGCACACAGTATGTTCTCTGGTTTCAAATCTCTATGAGCTATGCCTAAAAGGGAACAACAAAAAAACATCATTAAATACAAGTCAGCAACAGAGTCCTTTGGATTCAGAAGCAATTAGCCACAAACTATTGATTCCTTGATTTAAATGTACATTGCTAGTTTACTTAAGGCTTACAAGTCAACCTTTTTTCATCACCGCCAACATCAAAAAATTCCAAGTGCATATTAATAACTGTAATAGGACTGAGTGGAGTCCAGTTCGGTCTGTAATCATAAGAGTCACACTATTTTGTGATTCAAATTGTCGCGGACTCTGAAGTTTTTTTACATCATCACCCGTAAATAACATCAGATGTCATGTCTCCACGGCAGGTGAGCCTGAGTTTGACCAGCGTATAAAATTCCCTTACAAAGCGGGGATGTCACTAAAAGGGAGCTTACCACCGGCTAAATTACTCTGGCAAACAAAGACATGGGGTAATTTTGAACGTGCAACTGAATAGCAAAGCCAGTTAAACAAATAAAAGAGCCGGCTTAGCTTTTCCTTATATAGCTACGTTATACATCTCTGCAAAGGTGTCATGAATTGAATGTGCTTTGTGACTGTGAATGTGCTTTGCATGTGCTTTGTGACTTGGGGCCTCTATGGATACCAGCCACTTTGCTCAATGAGCTACCCTGGTTAAATAAAGTTCCTTAGTAAAACTTACTAATGCAGAACATCAAGTGAACTCACAGTGTAAGTACCTTTTTTATGGAGAAAATCCAATGCAGAGACGATATCTTTTACAACTAAACTTGCTTCTTTCTCTGTGAACACTCTTTTCTTCTCAATATATTTAAGAAGAGGTCCTAAAAATAGGAAGATGAAAAAGAGGCATCCGAGATGCTATTATTTACAGTACATCTCCACAAGGGCCAACTTGGGGACAGAGGAGAGAAGTTTAATTAAGAGTTAATGAGGCCCTCTCAAGGGGAGTATAAATGCCGCCAATCAAAATTTCAAAACTGGTTGTTTTGCCTTTTGAGGAGGAGGCCATGTCACTGTCGGCATTTCACTATTGTTTTTGCAATTGTCTCTGTCTCTATCACTGTCGTACTTTCAACCCATCTTTGTGTCGTTTGTTCCCATTTCATCTTCAAATCTCACTTTTTCGGGCATGTCACTTGTTGAATTTTACCCTGACAGGGCTCGTTAATGTATGGACTGTCTGCCAAAAAAGTGACCATTGCAGAGAGGTAGGCGTTAGTGGAGCTTTGACTGTATAATGTGGTAACATTTGTGGCAAACAAAATTATGTATCCCAGAGAAAAAAGTATTCTGTCCCACAGGAACTAACTGCAGTATTAATTACAAAAAGTGACAACTCCCTTTCAAAATAGCCTGCGTGGCAGGCGTTTGAAAGGGAAGGGAAAGGGAGAAACCCAAAATGAAAGGGAGTTTTAGGTACGAGAGAAACGTGAGGGGCATTTTGCGTTTCGTGTTTTGCATTTCTCCCTTTCCCTTCCCTTTCAAACGCCTGCCACAAAGTGCGCCCCTCATGTTTCTCTCGCGCCTAAAACTCCCTTTCCCAAAACTCCCTTTCCCTTCCCTTTCAAACGTCTGCTACGCAAGCTACTTTCAACATTACCTCCTCTCATCTTTTCAAAAACCAAATAAAACCTGAAAGAAAAATATTCGAAAATTTAATAAATTGATGGAGCACTGTTTGGGGAGCAATAAGAACATTATAATCGTGCAAAGAAAGTCATGTCTAATGGCCCAGGGCTACTGGATTTTGCTATCGGGCTAGTGATTTTTGTTCTTAATTTGCTTGATAGGCATTAGTGCCGTTTTTAGGGGAAAATTAAATTACAGAAGGATTGTCTGCTAATCAAAAAGGGTTTTTGGGCTAGATGAAATGACTAGTGGGCTAGTACATGCTAGCTACAGCTTCCCCAAATGACAGGCTGTAAAACTAACTTCCTTTACATCCTGATAATTAAATGATTTCTTATTTTTATCGGAAAGAAATAGTACTCACTTGTGGCTGTCTTCAAAATATTCAATGCAGTCTATAATGTTTCTGAAAAAAAAAGACATTATTGTGATTAACTAAGACATAGTTGAAAAAACTAGGGAATATTAGAAAAAATAATGTTATTAAACAATCTCACTTGTGTCCTCGGCACTGATAGAGGAGCTCTATTTCATTAAGGACCCGTTTTCTGTCCACCTTTGCACTCTTGTCAATGATCTGTCGATGCAAGAGCAGAAACGCTGATTTTAGAGAAATCCCAGCCAAGCTTAGAATGCATTGCCAAAATAAGAATGTATCTTATATTGATTAAAATACAAGTCTGATGCGGTGTATCATCTGAGTTCTTCACTAAGAGCCACAGATATAAAATAATACAATAACTCAATAATATTATTAACAAATCATTACAATACTCCTGGGAGAGGTACAACACAAACTTAGATTAGATCAGAGTAGTTTCCTGGAAAATGGTACCCTATTCTAGGCCTAAACTCTCTGATCTCTATACCCTATCCTAGACCAAACTGCTTGAAAACCATAACCTCCATGGCGGCACATACCTATATAACCCATAAAATGGAAGTACCTCTCTCTGGCAATAATCATATTAAAAAGAAATTTGCTAACCTTAACAGCATATTCCTGATTTGTGACAAGCTTCACGCAACTCTTCACTATTGTGTGAGCACCTTGCCCTAAAACATCGTCCAGTACCTTGTATATGTCTGAAAAGATAATGACGGAGACATGTTCTTTGTTGCTTTGCAGTGGCTTAAATATCACTGATTTGTCCCCAGTCATCTACTTTTGTCTTTTCATTTACCATAAACAAGGGAAGCACACGGAAGATGGCATGAGTGAGGTGGGAAGGAAGGAAAAGAGGAGATAATATCTCCTTGTTTTCCATAAATTATTAGTGTACATCTGTTTAGGTCAAACTCCTTTGTTGCACTTATAGCCAATGACTCTCAAATCAACTAATTTTTGATTGCATACCATAAAAACTTTCACAGACACTATCACTGGCTCGTTTTTTCTTCCTTTTCTTTTTCTTTGCTTGTACTGGAGGCTGGAAAATATCTATCAGGAAAGAACATTTCACAAAATGTTAATAGTACTCTTATTAATCTTCTTCTCTCAACATCTTCCATCAAAGAATAGAGAATTAACGTTATTTGCATTGCATTTTCCCCAATGCATTTGCATTGTCCCAGTTTGCACTTTGCATTCCTGGCTCCTGCCCCTATTTTAGCCCTATTTGGATGGCAAAATATTAAGCATTGTTGCATAATGCTTCCCTATTTCTCCCACTTCCCACACTTTTAGAACTCCAAACTCATAACCTTTTCTCTTGAGTAAGTATTAAAATAAAAATTGTTAGGAGAAAATTGATGTTGGTCACTCTTGGGCATTAGGTCTTATTATTCTCAGTGGCCAAATTTATACTATGGATGAATTATCCATCTCAGGTCTCTAAATTTATATCTAGACAGAATGTAGAGGGTTTTTGACGAAGTTTCCACATGAGAGGGAGTGGTTTCTATATTTTCACAATGTTTCCTGGGATAAATAAGTAAATATCTAGACAAATTATTCGTCAAAATTTGCCTTCAGATTTATACTTAGACAAATTATCCATCTGATGGATAATCTGTCTAGACAGATAACTCGTCTCTAGTATAAATTCGGCCAGTAACATACCATCTGCTGGAGGTTCCATATCATGTTCTACAAGGTTTTCATTCTTGGTTTTCTCATTTTCACATCCGGATTTTAAAGGATCCAGCCAATCTCTCGCAGAATTATCAGAATGGCCTGCTTTCTTGTTCATGATGGAAATCTGATATTAAGAAGAAACAGATTTTTAATGAATTACCAACCAAAAAATACTGTAAATGATCTAATAATTGCCCACTCTCAATAATAAATACCTCTTATCTAATAAACGCACCCTGTCTAATAGACGCCCCCGGAGAATTACTCCGAAATACTAGGAAATAGCAAAAAAGAGCAAAATCATTCAATTTATATAGTTTCTTGCTTGATTAACAAGGGTTTGTGTATTCTATCTTGTTCAATGTCAAATTCAAAATAAGGATAGACTAACAATGGCAACACAATCACCCAATGCAAAGGAATCTCACAACAACTTCAAGGTGATTTAAAAGAACAAGTAGTTTTGTTGAGCTTGTTACAGTTATGAGAATAAACCCCTCCCTCTTTAAAACATGTACCATCTATAGAGAGGAAAAGTGTGACGTCACGTTACCATGGTAGCAAAATTTCTGGATCACAACAAAAGGGAGCTTTAGCAACGATGATGGCAACGGCAATGAAAACAGCAAAAAAGAATAGGTTTACTATTAGCAAAACAACAAATTTGCACCTGCATCACGCTTTTATGACATTTCTTAGTCACCGTTGCACCATTGCGACATGAATCTTCCCAAGTTCACATGTCCGCTTTATGGAGAAGGTGAACAAAACACAAAAATTTTCTTTTTCTAAACTTTGATACAGTCCTTTTCAGATTCAACCCCAGAAAATTTTGCCAACATTTGACAAATTAAAAGAAATTGAAAAGGATCAATGAAGTTTGAAACAGTACGAATTCACTTTTTTTAAGAGACATTTTTGGTTTGTCGTCCAGAAATTCTTCTACCATGGCAATGTGACATAAAGACTTCTCCGCTCTATAAAACACACCCTCTTGGACTTCTGAAATTAAATAAATGCCTCAGGCGTCTGTAAGATCATTTATGGTAGGTGAGGACAAAAACGATTTCTTTATAAAGATAATCATTATACAGCCTGTACTTACATTTAAAGAATCCTGAAACAATTTTAGCCCTTGGGAAGTCTTTTCTATTAAACAATAAAAAAGAGCAATGTTCACACGAGCAGGTGTGCTGATCACTAACTAGTACTGTCCGTGCTTGCTAATATTTTCTATTATTTACCTATCTGTTTTGCACATACTCTCTTTTATTTTTGATGTCAAAAAGCAGCTGAAGAAGATAGGAAGATAAGGGAAGGAAACAAATAAATGAAAATGCAATTTAGGTATTGCTGAAAATCCTGCACACTGATAAGTTGCTATCAGCTGTCAATAATCTTGGGGTCTGCCATCTTGTTTATGATCGGGTATCAAGAATTGAGTCAAATATGCCATTCTCCGTGTGCAGATGTCAACTCCTTATACTTATGCACCAGTGAAAACAGGGCTTAACATCTTAGTTCTTTTGCTTAATATCTCACATATACCAGCAAGTAAAATTTATTTCGTCATCTTTAAAGAATGTGCCAGGTTCACTTTGACGACCAAGAGAGATAAGAAACAAAGGCTATGGAGTTGAAAATGATATGTATATCAACAGCAGTTGTAATCACATGATCACACTACTAGGAACATCTCATATCCTTAGAAAGGAACTCTCCATCAATTAACAGACTTCTACCTCATTCTAACTCTAGCTCAGTCATGAGATAAAGTTAAAGAAGATAGTAATGATGATAATAATAATAATAATAATAATAATTCATTCATTCATTCATTTATATTGCAAAAATATCAACCAAAAAAGTTTTCCAATGCACAGGTAAAATTCAGATAAAATACATTCGCACAGCAAATAAGTTTTTCTTTGATATAGTATTTCTTTAACAACGGCTATTTTTCAGTTTTAGTAATATATCTTACACTCTTACCTAAAACTTCGACAAGTAAGTCTCTTTCAAAAAAAAAAACAAATACGGAAACCATTTTATATTCATAGGACTAATAAGCTTAAAATATCCTATTACCATAGTGCAATCAAAGTAGGTTTATGACGATCACAACATTTAATTTTCCTCTATTCAATAAATGTCTCTACTACCATACATAAAGCTTATAGCTAATGCTGTAATTCCGGGAATAAGTTTTAAGTTTCAAATCACCTTTTCCTTTGATGTCAGCATCGTTTGAAAGCTACATATTTGAGTAAAAGAGAGAGAAGATTAAAATCTGCTCTGAAAGCAAAAAAAATGGCACAACGAAGCGAAAAAAAATCCTTCTACGAAATCGACGATTCGTAACTATATCTTCCTTAAGGGCGTAGAAAGTAAGTAGAAGGTGGCTAACAATCAATAAAATTAAGCTTTATTCCGCTGATTTAAGACAAACCTTGAAGTTTTTGCTGAAGAGAACGGGCTCCTCCATCTCTGCCATCATCCCGCGTAGTTTTAAAACCCAATGTAGCCTCTCCTCTTACCGAAGATCTCCGGAAACTTACCGATAAGTTCCGAAGATTTCCGAGAAAAATACCGTAATTTATAAAGAAATTTGTCATAATACAAAATTACATTTCTTGGTCTTCATTCGTTAATTTCAAATTCGTTAATTTCTTGCTACAGGAATAAAACAGAGTTTGTTCCCGGCGTTAAGTAATTTTCCAAAAGGAATTTTGAACAAACACGAAGTATTTAGAGCCCCTTACCCGCTCTTTAAAATATTTCCTTGAAGAATGTTTGAATTAAAAAGAAATTTTCCTGATTCTCCGCCTTTGCTCAAAATTAAAAAATAATCAATACATTTACTAATTTCCGTTTTAAGATTCCTCCTAATTTCTGTCGAAACTCAGAAAAAAAACTTCGAAAGCTTCAACTTTCGACGGATCGAAGTTTGCAATAATTGACCAATCAAAACAGATTTTTGATGGCAAACAACCAATCACAAGACTTCATTTTTGACCAATCAGAAGAAAACGCGGCAGGTATAAATTTGTATCCCTCCACTGTCTTCACTCATTCATCTCGACAGAATCGTCTTCGAAATGGCACGTACAAAGCAAACTGCTCGCAAATCAACCGGTGGAAAAGCTCCACGAAAACAGCTAGCCACTAAAGCAGCACGTAAGAGCGCTCCTGCAACCGGTGGAGTCAAGAAACCTCATCGTTACAGGCCAGGTACAGTCGCTCTTCGTGAGATCCGTCGCTACCAGAAATCAACCGAACTGCTCATCCGCAAGTTGCCATTCCAGCGTCTTGTGCGAGAAATTGCTCAAGATTTCAAGACCGACTTACGTTTCCAGAGCTCTGCTGTGATGGCCCTTCAAGAGGCCAGCGAGGCTTACCTTGTTGGTCTGTTTGAAGACACCAACTTGTGCGCCATCCACGCCAAGCGCGTCACCATCATGCCGAAGGACATTCAGTTGGCCCGCCGAATCCGCGGAGAACGAGCATAAGTGGATTGCATCTTCACCTAACAAACGGCTCCTTTAGGAGCCACCACATCAATAAAAGCAATGCCAACCATGATCTTGCAAATTCCCCGATCTCTTTCGTAGATTTTTCTCTTCTCCAGTCTGTTCTCTCTCTCCCGTCAACCGTATACGTTTCCTTGCTGCTTCGCCGTTTTCGCGCCAAAATAACAAACGCGTTACCCGCATCCACCTCTAGTCGCTACAGCAAAAAATCTATAAATTTCCCTACTCTTATCAACGCACCATACACTCGAAAATTATTAGTCTTTCAGTACATTTGCTTCGTCCTTTTTTTTTGTTAATTACTAGTGCACGATTCACTTTCAAGTTCGGATGTTCACGTCGTCAAGATGGCGAAGGAATGACAGATATACTCCCGCATACATCTAGATCGCTTTTTTCACCTCGTACAGTCCCTTTAGCCTAACATGTATAAAACATAATGTACCGTATTACATGTAAAACACGACAAAACCATGTATTTGTAATTCGAGGGAATTACAAACGACAATATTAGTCCAATGCGTAGTCCTTATCTTGTGAGAAGCCTCGAATTTTATTGTGTCTTGTTTGTACTCTTACTATTATTTTTCTAAATAGATTCCGCTTTTACATAGGAAAAAGTCAACAATTTAGTCAAACATAACATCCACAGTATCTTATCTTTCTGGTAAAACATCTTTAGACGTTGCTAGAGAAATTTACTAGTCTAGTTGACACGCGAAAACCACGACTTCCCATCTTAGGCCGACACCGACACACCATATCACCCACTACCTATTTTTGGTCTCTAAGCATCCTGATTTTATTTCCTGATTTTTTTTAAGCTAGATCACTTCTATTTTTAAGAAAAAGAAAGAATTATTTGGTAACTACTAGACTTTTATAGGAAGCAATGAGATCTAAATTAAAAGACTGGTGATTGTTCGTCAACAAAGGATCGACCGCCATTGCGAAGTACTGTCTTTGTTACCCGAAGCAAATTCAGTTTTATTCAACCATTTTTGATAATTTGTTCATTTATCCTCCTAAAATAAATTCGTGGATAAATTTACTTTGATATCATTTAAAAAGCGTACGAGTGTTGTGCTTAGTTTTCGAGAAATTAACTTTGGAACACAAGATTATCTACTTTTTAGTTCAGAATCGCAATTCTAAATTGAAAATTGAACAGTTCTGGTGTCATTTACAGCGAAACGGATCATTGTAATACATTGCCAAGTAAATTTAGTTTCTGAAAATATAAAAATAAAGAAGTTCGAGCGCTTGGATTCTTCTTAAAGTTTCTCGGAATTCTTTCAAAAAGCACAAATTTCATGCGACGGATGCAACCAGTTCGCAACGTGTTGCTGTTTCCACAGCGGTCCGCATCATTCCAATAAACAACGCTTCAAGTCATTCCAACAGCCATATCCATATCTGATCATCGAGTCACTACTAGTAGTTGAGTGTAATTGAAATACTTTCTTGCTAAAACATGTCGGGAGAATCTCCTAAGAAGACTGCTTCTAAATCCAAGAAAGCAGCTAAGCCTGCTGAACATCCAAAGTACATCGAAATGGTCAAGGCTGCCATCACAGCATTGAAGGAGCGTAGCGGGTCTTCGCGAATTGCCATCGAGAAGTACATCAAGGCGAACTACAAAGTTACTGATGTTGGTCCTCATTTGAAGATGGCCTTGAAGAAAGGTGTAGCCGCTAATGTTCTCGTCCAGACGAAAGGCACTGGAGCTTCGGGCTCATTTAAGGTAAACAAAGAAGCCTTGAAGCAAAAGAAGGAGAAGAAGAAGCCCGCCAAAAAGCCCACAACGAAGAAACCGGCCGCCAAAAAACCCGCAGCCAAGAAACCAACAGCGAAGAAAGCAGCCGCCAAAAAGCCAGCAGCGAAGAAGGCAACTACCAAGAAACCAGCAGCAAAGAAGACAACAAAGAAACCTGCAGCGAAAAAGGCCGCCGCTAAACCGAAAACTGCACAGAAGAAGGCGCCAGCTAAGAAACCTGCAGCCAAGAAAGCGGCGAAGAGTCCAAAGAAAGCCGCCAAGAAGTAAACTCACTTCGTGAACAACACGATAAAAAAACGGCTCTTTTAGGAGCCACCACATTATAAAAGTCAATAACCGTTAGACCTTTACACGCCGTAATTGTTTACTGCGTGTCGAGAGGAACAAACCCTAAGGAAAAAGCAATACATTTTACCTGCAGTTCAAACTCATGGAATATAGAGAAGTGTCCCCTGTTTAATAAGGTAGTAGATGACTGCAAAAATGACAATTTTTCGTCTTTCCATTCCATCTCTTTCGTCGCTAGACTGCTTGCAGTCCGCCTTTTCTCTTAAAATTCGGCACGTGCGGTGGCTTCGCCAGCGTGCTTGGTCTACGGTTTCTTTTGCAGTAACTTTGCAAAGAAAAGTAAGAGATAGCCTGCGAACAGCCGAAAAATAGCTTTTTTGCGGAGGGGGAAGCGGCGACCGGAAATGCATCTGCTGTTCGCAAGGCGCAAGGCGAGAGGCTGCTCGCAGTCTATTTCGTGACCTGACCCAACAACACCACAGGTTACCCAAGATCGACGTTCTTTCAAAAGTCTCAAGAGAGCATTAACGACATTTTTTCTCGTGCAGGTAAATAAAACTTGTTTGCATGATGTTTGTATAAACTCTATCGACGTTCTTTTCCGGTTATGTGTGGCGTTTGAACAACTGAACGAAAAAACAGCCGACATTTGGCGACGGTACCACTGGTTTCCAAGCCAAATGTCGCCTGTCTTCTCAGGCTAACAAATACCCAACGTCCTAGAAAACTGACCTTCATTTTAGTTTAAACAGCAAAGCCGTGGGTATCTATGTTTGGACGGAGGCGGGGGTGTGCGGGTGCTACAAAACTTAGAACTACAAAGCCGTGTAACCGAAACTCCCATCCTTCCTTGTTGCATCTCTCGGGCCAGCAAAGTAGCCGGTATTGTTAAAAAATCGCGAGGAGATGACAAAGGAATTAAGATGAAATAGGGGAAATGGTGGCGAGGCCTTATCTAGATAAGACGCACCTAATAGTATTTTTTTAACATTTGGAAGTGTCTGATCAAGTATTTTTAGGGCCAAGTCGCACTAGAGGACAAAACTGTTTATTTATGTCAAAAATCTGTCATCACAATGAAAAACCAAGTGCGACCGGTTTGTTCACCAAAGGACAAAATTTGGTCGCAGACGGACAAACTTCAAAGATGCCGTCGACTACCTCTGGAGCAGGCCAAATTGAGACAAATTTTGGAAAAACAATAGCGAGTGTGTTTTAATTCGGACATGATTTGACAGGTGATATGTAGCAGAGTCTCTATGCTATAAACTTCGTTGTAAAATTAATCACGTTTACATTTCGCAACAACATGAATCCCGGCGCGGGCGACCAATTTTTTCCGTACGGATACGGTATCCACAATATCCACCAGGATGGATCTATCCTTTGGCAGGCCCTTACATGTTTAATGATCGAGGAAATCCCAGCCCATTTCCTTCGACCACGAGTACTGACTCGTTGCCAGAATCCCTCCAGTTCAGCGAAGATAGCTCAATGCCGGCATCAACCCCATCTTCTTCGCGTCGTGCATCTTCGTCAGCCGAGAACAAGAAGGCTCAGGACAGATGGAGTAAAGAAGAGGAGAAGCTTTTAGTTCAACTGTGGGCTGAAATCACAAGGCGCTCACAGCATGGTGTTGTGTTTTGTTCACAGATTTTTTTCTTAAGTGCGACTGTAGCTCTCCGGACAAATTTTTTGTCACTGGCCGATTTCAAGTCGAATTTGTCCAGAACAAATGTAAAATTGCCCTATAGTGCGACTTGGCCCTTAGTCAACCAAGCAATTTGGCCCTTCCCGAGGCGAACGTGTTTGAGACAAAAACTTAACTCGATTTTTTTCGCCGCTCATAGCGAAGTACTTTTAGCAAAGTTGACAACTGCAGATAATATTTTTTAAAAGTGTTTGAACCACGCTTGCAGACAGAAGACAACAACGGCTGTTTGTGGGGAGGACCTTTGCGTGACGACCTGTATTGTAGACTGCGCGACTCTCCAAAAATTTACACTCTCTTCAACGATTCTGATCCAGAAAACAAACACGGTGTTTAAGACGCTAAATCGAGTGAAATGGCAATTATAGCATACCTTGTTTAGAATCAGAACCCCAAAACCCATACCCTGTTCAGCGGCAAATAACGGTTTAGGCCAAATAAGTCAAATAAAAGAGTGCCCCAGCCTTAAAATTAAAGGGTTCTCTTTCGATAAAAGTATGGAACTTCCCCTTGTCCACCCGGGTTTTTAGAACTCTCAAACCTGAGAAAGAATAGGTTTTCATCTATATGCTTTATTCAAATCATGTGTAAGGCTTCCTGGACTGTTTCCACAACTAATGAGTTCCAGCTGAAACCAAGCAATCTCAGGTACTACATTCAAATGTTCCCTCAGATGAATAACAATGATTCACAGGTTGCGACAGATACATTAGTTATTAATATATCATGAACTCACACCATACACCCTAAATTCATTAACAATAAAACAACCCGTGCTAATTTAAGCTTAAAACTTGCAATAGTAGTATAAGCAAAACCAGGCGCCTAAGGAAAACATGACATGTAATTATTCGTATCGATCAAATGTGAACTTGACTTCATCTACGCTGGAGCCAGTGATAATCAGCTTGTACTCTCCCTTCTTGATGTCGTAATCACCTTCAATATGAGCACAATCTGAATAATGCATGTTGACAGTTTTGTAGACATTCCGGCCTGACTGGAACAACTGGTACACATGGTCATCCTCAAATTTCTTTGAAAGAGTAATGCGGATGTAATGGCCTTCTTCAAGCGCTTGCTGATTATCACACCAAGGCGTCCACATATCTCCTGTCGGCTTCTGTACTCCAGGATCGCAATTCACAGAATCGGGAATCAATGGGAACATCTTAATCTCTGATTCGACGTTGTAGACTTTCACTTTGTAGGTGTCCGAGTCATTTTGAACAACGATGATGTTGCGAACGTCAGCAAGTCCCTTAGCCTCACCTTCTACAGGCTTGTAAGTGACTTCTGGAACAAATGCTGTATGTTTGGTGAACTTCCGCAGACTCTTCTTTTCAGACATATCCTAGAAGGTGAAGACATAAAGTAGTAAGATATCTAGAAACTAGACGAACAAATCGTCAAAAACCCTTTTACTGCTGATGGTGGCGAACGAAAATTAGATTAATTCATTGTGTAAAAGAATGAAAAATAAATATGGTATCATGCGAAAGTACTCCTAAAGAAGTTCCATTTAACTGGTAACACCACAGGGATTCATCCACAAAACTTAAAAGTTAAAACCATATACCGTGTGGCACAAAATTTTTGCGGGAGTTAATTTTTGCAGATTAGCCATGTTTTGTATTTTGCAGGAACTAATTTTTGCGATTAGGACAGATTGGTTTTTCTCGCTGGGAATTAATTTTTCCGATTTTCAGAAAGTACTACCCAGCATCGATAATGTTTTCGTTCTTAATGAGTACCTGCGATAAAAATACATATTTTTAAACAATGAACCAGTACCACGTTGTATACCGTTTTGTTTCTTAATGAAAGAGGCAGGTTGTGATTGAAGAGACACGATTTCTTAGTGCTGTATTTTTGTGCAGCGAATTTAAGTTAGAAAATATTTACTCTGGAGTAAATTTTCCCGGGAAAAATGTTGGCGGTAATTTTTATTCGCGCGAACTAACTTATTTTGCAGATCGCTGGGAAAGTCGCAAAAACTAGAACCTGAAAAAAAATTCGTGCCACACGGTACTTAAAAATAAACAGTATTATGTGAAAGTACTGCCAAATAGGTTTTGTTTGAACGGTAACATAGGGTTTCATCCACAAACTCAAAAGATAGAAATCGCCTACAAGACTGCAATATTCAATATAGGGCAGTAACAGGGTTCAAACATGATTAAAGAAACGCCCTTACACAGTCTTCTTAGAGAGTTCAGAATTCAGCACCGACTTACCGTTGCAGTGCAGATGAACTATAGAAACCTCAGAAATCTTGAGCTAGCCAAGCGTCAGCGATCTACAAGAGCTTGTTAGAGTGCAGGGCGAGTATCTACCATGAACCCTTTTATAGGGATCGTGAACTATTAAAACTCGTCAAACTGGTTGCAAAGGAATTTTTTGGATGACTGGGTCGCTTGTGATTGGATACTGAGAAAAATTCATTAGCATATACTTCATCTCCAAATCTACCGACCTCGATAAAATTGTTTCCAAATTTCTGACTTCAATCGTCGAGTTTCCTTATGGGGTGAAATAAAGATTGTTAAGTGCAATTCTGAGAAAGAAATTGTACGTTTGGTATTAGGGAATAACGAAAAATACCATGATTTTTCAGTTGGTTAATGACATTGTAAAGGATGAGTCAGTGTAAAGCTTCTTGGTTGCAGATGATTGGCTCAAATATTTTTATAAAACATGGCCAGCATGTTTTGTGCGTACGTGTGAACTCGTCTGAACAGGTTAGAAAAGCCAATTTTTAATTAGTCTATGGTAAAGAATCAACAAAAAACACTATTTTGGACAACAATCGACAAGATGAATTCAATAAATAAAACAGGTGTTGGTTAATTTAGACATCATTAGTTATTTTTCACAAACTGTTCATCTCTGTTGTTCTTTTCCAGACAGAAAATTGCCTGAAAAGCCACAACTTTCTTTGTTGCTGGTTTTTAAGACGACAAATTACACCTTTTTTAAACATTTTCAAACAATAGCGTTGACAATAGACGGCGAAACAGCCGCCTTTGATCGCTCCGCGCCGTTAGGACGTTTTCGCGTGAAAGTCGTAGCCTATCTCGCGGAATCTGGAGGGGGGACGATGATAGACGACTCATCGTAGCAGGGCTACTTTGACAACTGCTGACTTTCTTTCTGCTGGCGCAAACAATTACTTTAGAAGATGTTTAAAATCTCCTTATAAGACTGGCTTATATAATAATAATTGTTAAAAAAAAAAAATCGAGGGTGCATTGAGAAAAGACCGCTT